AAGTTCTAGATAGGGTCGGTAGAACCTATGATAGAAATCAATGACTCAAGTTTGTCAAACCTTCTCTACTAAATGCAACTTTCCGACGTTAAAATATACAACCCTTGTCGAGGTGGAATAGAGGGCATTGCATAATCTTTCATAGACAGTAAACTCCTTCACTTAAATGATCAGATGTGAGCGTGCAGCGTCTTCCTTGTATCGGAGAACATGCTGGAGATAATGTGGAGACCGATGACTGCATTGACATCCCAAGGTACCGTATGGAGTAATCCATATCGAAGGTACCAGAGCGAGGCAAACCACACAAAACAAATCAAACAATTGAATCGCTCCAACTGCTCCGCCCTCATCGCGAAACAAATGATCGTCAATCCCGATGCAGAAGACAAGGACACATCATCAGCGCTCGTTGGTTGACATCATCAGCAACTGAGCTGTCTCCAGTCTGGCGGCTACAGCATCTAAACAAGGTAGGAGAAGATCAGAAAGCTGGTAGTAAATGTTGGAGAAGAAGGCTGCTGTGAACATGATATTCCCCTACCTAGGTATTCTTCTTTTGGTGGCAAGGAACGTCGTTTCTTATATTATCATGGAGTTTACGCTGTCACGAGAACGAGCACGAGCTTCTATCCAGAAGTAGTAGTTCGTTGAAGAAGACACACCGTCTCTGTGGCGTCGGGCCAGGCTCTTTCCCCCTTGATATCTCCTCCATAATGATGCATGTCTTCATCCTCCTTTGTTGACTATTGTCATGAAGAAAATCTCCTTTTGGGACAGAGACAGTTCAGCCAGTGGAACACGCCAAGTGTGACGGCGCCACTTGGCCATATCCTTCGCTAGCAGATTGGGAGACCCGTAAAATAAAAACTGGAGTGAGATCTGGGCATTTCATCTATCCAATGCGTGTTATAGCTGGCGGAAATTAGGGGCCGCTTCAACTCGACCGAGCAAGGCGGACTTTCCACTTGTTTCGTTTCTTTTTTTTCTCTTATCCTCCCTGGCCTGCCGCGTCATCGATCGACAGGCATCGAGATGACTGAATTCGATTGGTTCAAGAGCCAAAGGGAAGCTTCTTTTTCCTGGCATTTCCTTATTGCTGGTTGAATGACGGTTGAAAAGACTTGGTGACACAACATCGAAGGTTGGCAAGACTATGAAGCAGTTGGTTTGTGTACTTCATCACCGATAGTACGGAGTATACATATAAACATATATAATCTTATATTTATATAGTATGAGCGACCCGAGCAAAGACTCCTCGTTCCTCGTTTGTTACTGTCGATGTCAAGCACGATCTTCAGGCACAAGTACTCCGTATCATGCCCGTCATCTTGTTTTTTTTTCTCTTTTCTCCTGCGATGCTATGGTGGCTATGGCTCTGGCTTCGGTAGTCTGGTCGAGTATCGAAATGCGGAGTAAGCCATCGACTGTACTGATCAACAAGTGCTAAGGCGTTAGGCTTCGATAGCTGTTGTATTCAGTAGCCAGGACACATCCAAGAACAAGGTCGACCGCCCAGTAGTTGTGATGCCATGGGCATGTCTGTACAGATGTATATATCACAGAGCGTTATATGTCGTATATGTACGGAGTAATGTGAAAATATAATAATACATAGTACAGAGTCAACCATGTTCGAGAAGCGTCTTCCCACTCGCACTGACAAGGGACAGACGCCACAAACGGTCGAAGGGAAGAGGAAAAGGCGGTTAAGCTGGAGCGGTCACACCCCCCCTGTTCAACAAATCAACATAACTATTCACGACCAGAGACACTGATTCAAATAGGATGGGAAGCGTGATAACGTCTTGCTATTATTATATAGTAGCACAAAGGAGAAGATGGAAAGGAGGTTGTATGCAACCATACTAACCCGATGTGGCGGTACTTCCTTACTAACTTCATATACATAGCGACATCTCAGGGGACGACGTCGGTCCTTGCCATGCACTATGAATAATCTCACCACGGCAATGGGTTCTAATATCCATCCGATAGATATAAGGATGAAGGGGATAGGAATGAGAGAAAACCGAACACAGAGAGAGAAACGCCTGGAGGAAGGAAGGCGTAAATTATCAGGATGGCGGCCTTCATCTCCGACTGGTTAGAGGACTGGATGGACAGTACCTGCAGGAACCAGGAACACCCACCGATTGGCAGAAGTGGCGCAGATCAACAGGAGGCGACTTTGCTCTTGGTCTTGTCATGGAGGGAAATACAAGCCTACAGGAACACGGACAGACACATGGCCAGAGATGGCCAGAGAGCAACTGGTTACATAGTAGGGGGAGGGAAACAACAAGATCAGCCGCTCCAGGCGACCAGCGCACACATTCACTGCTGTATGTACTATGTATACTATTCAATTTCAACCAGTCCAGGTGTCCTCGTCCTAGTGGGTGACGATGGCGCTGGGCTCAGGGCCCCAGGCGTGGCTAGGTACACCCCATCAGTACTAGGGGAGGGTATGTAGCCAATTGGACATCTGGGACGGCAGAGAATGAAAAAAGGATGGACATGCCAGGAACAAAACACGGCCGGGGGGTGGTTGATGAAGGCTTACTCCACCGCTGATAACATGCCGCTGGAGAAAGGGCCCCCTTTCGCTCTTCGACCCACGTCTGCGTGGATATCAAAAAAATAAAAAAAGGAGCAGGCCAAGGGGGGCGGGAAGAGAGGAGGAGTATGCAAGGGCAATCTCCCATTCCACAAGAAAGTACAAAAAGGGCCCATGTTCCACCGTGTGGCCCTTTTTTTGACCTTTCTCTTCTTTCTTCCCTTTCTTCCATCCATCATCAAATCTATCACAAAGACTTCGGTCATCCCACACTCTTTTAACCACCCAGTCACTCTTTAAAAACCAAACACACGAATTTCCCAATATCTCTTTTTATTCTTTTAACGACTCTTTTCGAATTAAGACTCTAGAAGTTCTATTTTCACATACATCAAGATGCGTTTCTCTATTGCTTCCGTCGCTCTCTTCGCCGGTGCCGCCGTTGCCATGCAGGGCTATGAGCAAGGTGGCTACGAAGCTCAGGGCTACGAAAACAAGGGCTATGAAGGTCAGGGCTACGAGTCCGTCGTCTACAGCACCAAGGAGGTCACCATCACCTCCTGCGGCCCCGAAGTCACCAACTGCCCCGGAACTCAGACTGGTGCTCCCGTTCCTACCACCGCCCCTGGCGAGCCCGCTCCAGTTCCAACCACCACTTACTCTACCGAGTACGTCACTGTGACCGATTGCCCACCAGAGGTTTCCAACTGCCCTGCATCTTCCACCCGCGTCGAGACCAGCGTTGTCCCAGTTCCAACTGAGGCTACTGGCGTCCCAACATCCGAGACTGCTCTGCCAACCGAGCAGCCATCCGCTCCCAGCGGTACTGGCAACCTCCCCATCCCAGTTCCATCTGGCACTGGCACTGGTATCCCATCCAACCCAAGCGGTGGTATCCCAACTGTCCTCCCACCATACCCAACCAACATCCCAAGCCAGCCAAGCCAGCCACTCCCAAGCACCTCCGTCGTAACCTATACCACCTGCATCCCAACTGTCATGACCTCTGTCATCACCCTGCAGCCAACCCCAACTGCTGTTCCAACCGGTGGTGTTCCCGGAACCGGTGCTCCCGGCATCCCATCCGGCACTGGTGTCATGCCAACTGGAACCGGTGTCTTGTAAGTTTAAACCCCTTTCTATAATTCTATGTTTTCTTGCATAAATCTAACGGACAGCAGCCCAACCACCGCTCTCCCAACCTACACTGGTGCCGCCAGCACCTTCTCCGGCTCCTACGCCGTTGCTGGCCTTGCCGCCGCCGCCGCCATCATCCTAGCATAAATTTCTCTTCTTTAATGACTCCCACTAGCTCACTTCTTCCGTCCTCAATCTGTCGTTCGGTTCCGGCGAGACCAAATAGCTATGGGGTATTAATTTCTTATTTCTCTTCCTTTTTTGTTCCTTTCTTGGACATAGTGTGCATGGCAAAATAGAACCACTCTAGACAAGAACTTCGAATATTTCGATCGGGACGCGGCATTTGGGGTTCACGGGGAGATTTGTGTGCTTTGGTTTTTCTTTTTTTTATTCCCTCTTTATATTTCCCTCTTGAAACGTGGTTAATTTATGGACTTTGAAACTTTTGAACTCTTTCAGCTTACTACCTTTTGCCATACATATACCTTCATAGTAATTCTTTTAATTAGTTGGAGCTGTTCTAATTCTCTTGCAGTTTTACACACCTCGTCCTTGTAATTTACTGCGTCTACTTGGAGGTAAGAGGGGTTAGCCAGGGCCCTTTTTATTTCCCTGTCCCTATCATGATAGGGCTCAGTCTACCCGAGCCGGCCGAAACATTCTACATCAGGCTTCTTTTTTTATCCTTAATTGTTTCTTTCTTATTCTTCATCCTGGAAGGCGCTTAGGAGCAAGATCTTCATCTCAGGATATTTGATATCAAGTTTGCCGTGCCTTGCCGATGCCATCATCCCTGCCGGGCCTGCCTAAGGCTCCCATGGTCCCTCCCCGTATTCTTCTTAACCGCCAGGTCCCCAGGTTTTGTTCACAGCTTCGTCATCATCATCATCCTAGATCTTCTTCATAACAAACCAGGCAAATGTCCAACGGACGCACATCGGCTTTTTGGCCTTCTATTATCGACTCCACGACCACTCAACTGCAATCACAGATTATGATGCACCGTTCATTTAAAAACCGATATTAGGACCAACCTTAACACCATCGCGGACAACTCTATCTGGCAGGACGGCGTGTTTCAGGCCTATCGACAAGGCTCCCGTAATGAGAGACTGAAAAGGCGGGCCAGCGTTGAAATTACCCCAACCATGCCTTTCATGACGGAGATTTCCTGATACAACCCTACCCGCCAGGCATTAATTAGCGCAGTGCAGTTACTGTGATTATGCCGTCATGTCTGTCTTGTCCTTGTCAGCAACCAACAGTGACAAGACGCACTCGCTGGGCCTCGTATGCGTGCATATATATAGTACGGAACACCTTGTTGCTTTTCTTGGTTTGAATAATGCGCGCAGGACAAGGAGTGGCATGTCTGGTTATGTCAAGGTGCATGACATCCCGGGTGAAGGCGAGGAAGTACATATTATGTATGCAGAGTCCAGAGTAGTGCAGCGAGTCATGCAAATCAGCCACGATCAGGCCTTGTTGGCGAGACAAGCTTCTTTATATCTAACATCGCAGGATCAAGACTGATTAATGTCCGATAGGCAACATATATTGTCTATACAAGATGTACGGAGTAGTATCAAGTACATCCGTTCTAGAGTGGCACTGCTTGTACTCCGTAAAGAACCATCAGCTTCCTCCCGGGGCTCCCCTAGTAGTAGCTGCATTCTCATGAAACACCAGGAATGTACAGAATACAAACTATGAGAGTTCATGTGATCGCTTGATAGTAAAGCGGCCATATTCTCTTACTAGATCTGGACAGTCGTGCGAAGGGGCTGTTGGTTCTTTATCTAGTCAACGCTTCTCTCCAGTAAAAGAAAAGGCAGAAATGACGAACTATCGATTTTAATTCCTATCGACCATTTCTTTAGTTAAATATCAGACGATAACCACCTAGGTAGTTGGAGAACTCCGTACTTTTTGGTCTTCATTTTTATGCATACAAGGTTATAGTCACGATGCCTACACATCCATCGCCTACCTGGACCTCTCCTTGGAAGAATCATTTTGACAAGTCATATGCTACACGTAACTGAATCGGGGTCAGGTTTTAAATCGCGTGAAACTTCAGTTATTAGGTCTACCGCCGAGACCGCCGCATCTTCCTCTGCCTTAGAATCTGCCCTGGTCGAAATCTTCGAAAATTCGACTCAACACCGGCAAACACCAACTATAAGTATCACCCAAACCGGTACTCCCCATCCACCCAGAACCCCCAGCACGCAACGTGATACCCCCATATTAGAGGCCCTTCGCCAGCCGGAACCCACGATGCTCAAGGAGATACTCCCCATCAGCAGGCCATGAGTCATTCAGAACCCATTCTACACCTGACTCTTAGCGTAGCACTCAAAATTCTATGCTAAATACGCCTCCGATTCTTCGCCCATTGAATACATATCAAAGCAGCGAGGCCTTAAACCGAACTGTAGAGTTCATTGACCTCCAATCAACAAGACTAGAGCCCACACAAGGCGCGACGGAGCCCTTGGAAGAGATAGCGATTCCTGGGTCTGTTGCTTCAAACGATGAAGGAGAAAATTCTAGCCCTTACCATGAAGTCTTACCTTGGACCCCAGCCGAACAAGACGTTGATATATCGATTGATCAACTCTATAGAGGACAGTATAGCCCAGCCAACCAGTTCCTACGGACAGCTTTCTTTTTAATATGGGTCATTTCTCACAATGTTTTGACTTAACTATACCTGAGGATATAGAACATTCCGCCGAGGATCAAGGCAACCCAAACTTTCAGGATCGAGGAAACCTAGGCTTCCACAACTCGGGTAGTCATCCAGAGGCACACGCGATCAAACCTGACAAAAGTTCTGACATATTTAGACACACTTGCCTTCGTTATGTACTCCTTTAATGGGGTTGAAACTGCGTTATTAGAGCCTGTGGAAATGTTGAATTCGATCGAAATATCGTTCTAGTTACGAATATATGGCATTATAATGAGACAATAAGATGGATCCAGTCCAACCTTTGGTATACACATCGAGCCAGATCTATTTACTCTTTCATATTAAGAATAGTACTATTGACCAAATGATACTAACTAGCTTCTAGAGGCAAGAAAATGCCGTTAACCAGATGAAAATGCTCCAAGCTAGAGAATCCAGGAATTTAATAGGTCCATTTCGAGCTCAATCCCTTATACACCCTAGGAAACAGCTACAGATCGAGGGAGGGCACCCGCACAGAGTTCTCAGCCTCAAACTCCCGCACCACTTCCGCGGTAGGTTCAAGGGCAACAGAGTTCTCTGAGGAGAACTCAATTACATCAAGGATCTAATCCCAGTAACTCTACTCTAGGGTTAACCGCGCCATTTAAACCGCTCCATACGGTGCTAAATTCGATAGAGCAATATCCAGAAGACGAAGATCATCCGGGGACTCCAACCCCAAACGAGGCTTCACGGACCCGAAGTTTGTATTAAATACATATTGTTGATTGATTTATGTCAAATACTAAAGGGACCAAATGGCTTTATATAACTTGATATAGCTTCTATTCGGTAGTTAACATGATTCATGAATATATAGTATATAGACTTCACAATGAGTAAATACTGTTTCCAATTATTTAACAGACGTGATCGTAATATAACCTCAATTTGCCTATATAAAGATATTAAACACTAACTTTGGAGTATGATATATATATATAAACAACAACTAGCTAAATTGTTAGTGTACTGAAGGGCCGAATGTCAAATCAGCGAGATTGGATGTCAGCCAGTGTGAGTGGTGCCCTATGTTCAAATATAGAATGTTGGGCTATTCTGCGCACATACTTAGTTCCCACTGGATATGCAGGCCCACTTCATACTGTCTCTTCCCATCAACAATTGTATAAGTACAAACGAAAATATTTCAATATGAGAATTCTAATAAAGCAATCTAACTATGTCGGTCACAATTGCCCCATGCCGACCAGAGCGGCACCCACTATAGGGCCAGGTCCCTGGTATCCTAGGTAATATATTCAGCCCTGGTGCAGATAACGTCGATCAAGGCTGGCAACAGTTCGATGACCTGAATACTGAGATTATTGAATATAATCAACATAACACTACTATATCCACTAAAGGAATCTTGGACTACAGCTTTTTGATCGATTTTCCTATATAATCGCTGAAGTTTCCGTCAACATACTTAGTACCAACTCTGATCCTAACCCCGAGCTTTTACACTCTCTTCGTCAGACTATAAGTCAATTCAATAATAAGTTATTACAAAAAGGGTTACCCACGAGAATAGCAACATAGCAACTCTAGGCGGGTCAGTTCGAGGCGGAAGTGCAGAGCCGCTTGTTAATACGCACGCAGTTTGGAAGCTATGGACCTGTCGCCGAACAACCCCAACAGAGCAGCACGCCAATACACAAACAATCCGCGGCAATCATTAATAACAGGATGGTGGCTTCTGTTCAGGGGTCTAGGAACCATGGTTCTGTCACCGAACAAACTCAGCTGAATAACACATCCATACACAACATGGATGGTCTTGTCAAGAGGTTCGATGCCATTCAGTTACCTGCTGACGATCGAGCTATATTTCTCGTAGGGGTATAAAGATGGCCAAGGTCGTCCAACCTTTTGTATCAATATTTAGCTTCAAGCTTTCTGCAGAAGCCCATACAGGAACTAAGAAAGCTTGACGCTAGATCAACGCATCTCCTCTTATATAATTCTCGAGCCATGCCCTTTGGCAGGCTAGGAAGCCTACACATTATTGTATCTTGTTCGAAGCTGGAGGATGTTCCTCGTTGTCATGTAGGTGTGCAAAGCCCCACGTAGCACCGTGGAACCCGGCTCCATCAGACGTGGCTGATGTATCGGAGTCTTCCAGGGTGGCAGTTGGCTCAGAAGCCACCTCATGTTCAGATGAGGGAGCTTCAGGCTGAGGTTGTGTTTTTCTCATTTGCAGCTCTTATAAACTTATCCCTCTGTTCTTTCGCCCAATCTCTTGCATTTCGATATGCAGTTGCTCCCTTCCGAAATGTTTCTAAATCACTAGTCATTAACCAACCTTTGAGTTGAGTCATAATGTATTTAGGACGGCCATTATGTTCCCGTGGAGCAATTACATGCGTTGCGTAGAGTTTAAGGGTGCCAGCAAGATAGGTTGATGTTATTGTATAAGCATTATCGTCATAGATAGGCTCCTGCTTATACGATTGAAGTTTATGTATTCCCCGTGCCCCTAGCGCACCATTATAACAAGCTTGCCGTGTAGCAACTGCAGGCGACCCATCGGGGCCTTTAGCCTCAAGAAAGAAGTTTGGAGCGATAGGAAGGCTACCCTGTGTTGATGGTAGAATATAGCCACTAAGCGTATCGCGGATATTAGCATTAAGCTGCTCAGGACGAGCACCAAAGAAATGATCTGGTTTTGCGTTTGCTAGTGTACCATCTGTTAAGGGAGCAAGGTTCCCAAATGGGCAATCCCCTCCCATACACCTAACATCACCGACGCGGCCTTCAATACTTGGGATAGCCAAGCGTACAACAGGTTTCTCCTTAGATGCATTTAAGTCTGCCTCTACAAACTCTTCAAATTCGCGCTCCGAAAATAGGGATGGAGAAGCTCGGGATTGCGCTAGTTGTTCGCTGAGCTCTAGCCAGTTATTCGGCTTTGCTGGCTTCTGACCATTGGGGTACGTATATCCAGGTGGATAAATACCATAATCAATCAACTTCTGTTCAAAGTTACGGTTATAGGCGGTAGTGCTCGTTGTCTTCGTGGTCTTGTTATTATTATCAGGAGGAGTCCTCGCACGACGCTTCCGGCGGCCCAAACTATTGGCGCTCATTGATTGATGATAAGGGATCTGGGGATCTGGGAACTAAGTTTAGGCGTCAATATGAGTACTAGTATGAGTGTGAGAAAAGGATGTTGTTTTTTGGCTTCCCTTTTCGCGGGGGAGGGGGGTTCTATATCACAAGAACTACATACATTCCTAAGGTCGGATAGGTCAGGCCCACCTTGCCTAGAGAGTCTTTTAATCTTACTTATACTCTCGGGCTTGCAGTTGATTAAGGGATCGGGGGCAAGTGTCTGGTAATAACACCTAAGTCTCGCCTGTAGCTGTCGAGTGAACGGCTGGCAGGGGAAGGATAGCGGCTCTGGTACACTGCCAGAAGCCCTATTTCGTCGATCCAACTCCTTAAGAGCGTCTCTTGTTAACCAAATCTTCGACAGATTATCCCAATATGTCGAAGTGGGCTGGCCGAGCTTCAACTTTTTTCCTAATGGAGGTCGTGGTCGGTCGAGATAGTCAGGCTTCCGTCGTTTGTGAGATGGTTCCAGGGAGACCGGGAAAGTCATATGGCACATATACTGTAGGTATCTCGACTCGGAAACACGAAAGTGAGCGAACGGTCGTCATATATCCAAGTGATTGATTAGACGCGTAGCTTCGACCTTAAGGATGATGTCTGTTTCACGTTACTCATTCTTTCAGCCTGAACGGAGGCCTCATCGATTAACCCCAGTGACAAAATATGTAACCAATGCCAAGAACTTAAGCATCCATTTTTATGTATCCCGAGTCAGGTTCCACGTTTCATCAGTCATCAGAGTAACGTGACCTAAAGTTAGTTTAGTTCATGGTCTTGGCGTTTTACTCTGATGATGGGGTCAGCCCCTCCAGGATGGGGGTGAGGGGCCTTGTTATCAGAGAGATATTTTGTCCTTCAGTTTCTCACTTCATTTACCACCCATTTTTTTAGAGGGCGATTTTATCTCACCTTTATTGATACGAGGTTCAGTTTGAAAGGTTTCTGGACATGGCAGACCCCAAGGCGCCACATAAAATCACCCAAATTGACGAGAAGAAACGCCTATGTTTTCTAGAATGGTTTAGTAACGCGAGATTCGAATGCTCAAAGGAATCTAAATATCGCTACGTCTGCAGGGATCCTGACCTTCACAAGAATGTGAATGACCTTTTCGAAGGGATCTACGAAAAGGTAAATGCTCTCCACGTAGTATAAGAACAGGCAAATTATATAAAATATATTAAGAGTATTAGGGATTTAAATATACCGCGTGGAGAGACCAAGGCGAATTCAGGGTCATAAACCCGTCTGGTTCTGCAGAAATCGTTATTATTTCTGGCACGCCACGGCTTAAACGATCGAATGCAATACTACAACCAGGGTCCATTACTGAGATCACCAATAGCGACGCCTTGACTCCTCCTTTGAACTGCATTTATGTGTTTGACGCCGTGAGAATCCGTACGGGATGAACCGGATATTGATATCGGCTAATGGTAGCGAAGCTAGTGTTCCATGATCAGAAGGAGTGCGTGTTTGGTAACGAGAATGCTGTAATGAAGACTTTGACGCCTATATCGGCGGCTGTTAGGAAACGATGGCTCTCTGAGCTCTACCTACACCTTGGCGACCAGATGGAGCAGCGATAACATCAACTTATGTTGGGCCACAAGGGACAAGAAGGCCAAATGTCTAATGGGAGCCATTGGTAATGTGTGCGAGTCGGAGCAGAATGGATGACATGATTCAACAACTTATCACGGTGGTCAACTCAAGCTCTGCATAATATTACATCCCACCACACCTCGAGAAAAGGATAGCTGTCCTGAATACATTATGACCCAACAAAGGTATATAAAGACCTTCTCTCCTATTACTCTGCCTAGCACGTTTATGAGCAATATATACCTTCTGTTGTTACTCTTTTACCTATGTTGTATCTGCCAGATCACTACAATGCCACGTCAGTTTAGAGTCTACTACATCCGCGGTTCGCCAGAAACAGACCTATCCTATGCCAATCTCCTCAAACAAGGAGTATTCGATTTGTTGGGGCATATATAATAGATATTTCCCGCGATTATATATACTTAACTACATAGTACAGACTCTTAGCTTAAGCTTTAAGTAGGTAATAATTCAAATAGATATGTTTTAACTCCTCTTTTCTTCCGACAAGACTTACACCGAGGCCTACATATACTCTCTTTAACTATCCTCTCAGAGCAATGTATTTATTGATGAGAAATGGAATATTATATCACATATGGAACTTGCTGCTCCTCTGGTGGTAGAAGGACGGTTGTTGAATGCTGAGAAACTTTAACTAAATGCAAGGTAAACGATTGACTAAAGCTAAAATCTAAACAGGAGCATTTAAGGCAACCAATGATAGAAATACATATGGGGGGAAGCTGGCCCTTAATAGCAGGCTTTCAGGCATCCCTTTGGGCATAGCGAACTGTTAGACTCGTCCTCAGATTTAATGAGCGTGGAGGCGCAAAGGGGTGAGCCGACTACCTTCTCTTCTCCCTTTTCGTATGGTGAGCCTGAGTCGGTATATAGAAGATCCGTCTTAAGAAGATCATTCGCATATCGACAAGTTGGTCCCTAGGAGTGGAGTGTATTCACCATCGAACAGCCTAGAAGTTTCAGAGGGATCTTGGTAGATATACTGAAGACAACCCTCTAACAACTCAATTTGCGTCTTGATTATCTTCCGTAAATAATCTAGCCCATCGTATACGGCATAGAAATGGTTGATATCCCATGTACATTCGGCCTTGGAAAATAAATTCTTGGTATCGTCTTATACACCCTTTGTAGTAGCGACTGCTCTTCAATAAAACATTAACGGTCGTAGTATCTTTGGGTTCTGGCCGCTTTGATACGCTCCACGTTTTAGGTTATCGCCCAAACCAAAAAGTTCCAGAGACAGGCCTGTAGGCTCTTTGTGATTGTATAACTCGTCAATGTTCTTCTGAACCCGAGCAAGGTCGCAATTTGGAGGCTCAAGAAACTTCTTTCTGACTTCACTGCGCGATCCAATGCGTTGATTGAGGGTTCCATCTAACTTGTTCTGCGCTGCAAGCCGCTTGTATTTAGCCTAAGCTCCCTATATATTCAAGTCACTAGCGTTGGTAGCGACCTCGATGTAACGCAGGTACGCAGCTGTTAGGTGGGCCGATTTCGCGTGCTCAAAGAAATATTATCTAAGCTTACCAGCAGCATGAGCTCTGGGTCCTTGGTTGACTTGGTGGTGCTAAGAGCAGTGTACATACTATGTATATACATACATACGTCATATGACCCCAACTGTTAGGCATCCAAGCTAGTTAATTCTGCCACCCTTCACCGCCAATAGTGGCCCTTCATTCCTTTACACTCGTTTTTGTTTAATTTATGACAACGTCCTCACTTTTGGAATATCCATGTATTTTTTTTTTCTCTAAAATTCTTCAATTAATCGTTCATTACATGGATGTCAGATTAACTCATTATTATTTTTTGCAGTTTTAGCGCGGGTTCTAGAATATGGCTTTGTGTCTAAATGATGACGCCACAAAGCACTTGCTGGCATTGAGAAAATGGTTCGAAACAGCAAAAATAAGTCAAGTAAAAGGGAACGCATCACGGTGGGTAGATGAAAGCCGGTTCGAGAAATGGAGGCCATTAATAGAGAGTTTGGGCCTTTATAAAGAGGTATTACAACTTCATAATTAGGCAAAACCAAGTTAACAAATTCACTAGGGCAACGGGTTTATACTATGACGGATTTCTGGAAGCGTAACAGTCGCACCAGATCCGGGCTACCATGCACTTTTTTCCCTCTCTACGGTGCAGTAGATATCTCCGACTACCACCTTAACCCTGGAGAATATATACGGTTTACAGAACCCAAACATATCAACGCTCAGCTGGATTTTCTTACAGCCCTTGTGCGAGAAAGCAGCACACAATAATTAGGGAAAGCAACGTTTCCCACCGAAGCATACCAAGGAAGTATTCAATTTTTTATTCGGTGTGATTAATATCAATAATATCGGCATATGTGTCAAGTTGGAGGCTAGACCTTGGTTCTTGCGTCTAAGACCGAAATGACTATATAGAGGTCAACGTGTTTGCCGGTACCAACCCTGGATAGTGAAGAGGCTGATTAGAGGCAGGCCTAGCCGGTGGTTGGGCCAAGCTTATATCCGGCAATATGAAATCTGCATATAGGCTAAGTTGGAGGAGGTCAACTCTACCGGCTAACGGGAAATGTATATCCGAATCTATGTTCCCAAAGTCAAAGTTCGTATATAAAGCGAGCCAGAGAAAGTCGCTAGTTAGTGAGCTTTGTGCCATAGCCGCGTAATTCGCCCATGGTTGTAAACACGCGTCCATACCAGGTGTTGTACTTATATGGCCATGGTCTGTATTCGGATTGAGCGATGTTTGCACCGCTGCGTGGGGGGAATCCGGTTGAGGCATATTTTGCCGCACTTGGTCGATATTCTGTGCGGTTAGGCACAGCGTATGATGCTCTATCAAATTCGGATGGATCGCACTCGACGTGTGTGCCAGATTATCTAGGTTAAGATGTGCCGTGGACTGTGGTAGTAGTTGGTTGGTAACGTCGGCCTGTTGGATCGACGCTTGCGTGAAACCGTCTTGATTTTGCACACGAGGATGATTGCTTTTGGCTCGGTTGGTTACCATTGGACTGTGCCCGGACACGTCGCTATCCGCCTGGCCTAGCAAATTCCGGGAGCGACGGGTCGATCCAGGTTGATCGAATATAGCACCTGTCAGGTCTCTCGATGCAATATCGGGCCGGCGACGTTTCGCACGTGTTGCAGAAGCCTGTTCTGCCAGAATAGCCATTGCATTGTGATAGTTCAATCCATGTTGACCAAATACAGTGCCTGTTATGCCACCCGCACCCGTTCCTCCTGGAGTACCCCGCCCTTGTTGCCCGATTTCGAATGCTTCAGGAGAAGCCTGCATCCATGGAACTTCCGTTTCTGTAGACGAGCCCACACTGTCTACTTTTGTGTTAGTAACGGCTGTAGTGGTGTCGGGCGGCCTAAAATGTACCTTGTGCTGGTTCCTCTGCTATATCTGAAATACGAATATTGCTGCCGTCACGCCCTACCCCAAGGAAGGGCACCCTCGTCGCCGAAGAATCGTCAACTAGCATTCTAACAGAAGGCAAGCGGTCCCCAAAGCTTTCAGAATTTCTATTTATAACTTCTTGAGCTTGACGTCGTTAGCCATTTACCTGTAAAATTTGTTCACACATCCTTACCGCCATGTATTCCCATTCTTACTTCTGGTAGATGGGCTTCAAAGTGTGTGTTGGATTGGATATTTCTAGTGACGGCGCCCTCCGCCTGGCCTTGCGCGTTCTGGGAGGTCGCCTGTCTGCCCCGGAGAACATTTCGTCGCCGACGTTTCGCTCTTGATTGGCCGTCACCCTGCTCCCTAGATTCTCCTATCTGCGAACCAGCCTGCCGTTCGTGCCTTGTAGCGTTCGGACTCCCGCCTTGGGAGGGAGTACTCGATTCCGTGGCTAAAGCAGCCTCATCTATTGCCAATTAGCGGTAGCCAGTAAGGATTTGGCCAAGCCAAGGGCCACGAAATCTTGATAGTTACCATTACCCGTCGGGGAGCGCCGCGCGTGGGTTGACTCCACAGCAATCCCAGCATCCATACATTGGGTAGATTCATCAGGCTGGGAAGAACTCGTTGCCCTACTGATCACCGTTGTGCCATCCTCGGACCCGTTATCGTTCAAGGAAAACGAGCTCTGAGTAGAGCTTGCGATCTCGGCATTGCCAACTGTATGAGTATTGTTGCTTCCTTGAAACAAACTATTATTAGTTAATAATGGGAGCGTGGTACAACTATATTGGCCTAGTGAACAGTTGGAAAGTGATAAGAAGTACTATACCTATTTTGAGCCAGGCCTTGTCTCTTGGAAGCAGCTTGCGTATTGCCCGTTGGCACATTGACTATTGGAGAGGAAGAGGTCCGGAAACCGTGCGCCCTAGGAGGGTCACTCGCTGCTTCATTGGCGCGTAAACTCACACTGTCTGATTCCGTAGGTATATTCGGTAAGGTTAGCTGTCCGAGGTGCTTCAAGGTATTCTGTGAGATATATTCGCCAACGGACACAGCCCGGTACTCTTTTGCAATAGTACCAATACCAATTTTGCGAAGATAGGATGCACCTTCCTCAATTTTTGGATGATAATGCCTTTCCGCGTATCTAGGGTTTGTTTAGCCATTGCTAATACGCGTAACCCGTGGTTGTCTTACTTAGTTTCGCAGAGTCCCAGCGGCATTATCAGGAGGTAGCCTGGCGAACCCAGCTTCTCGGCCCAGGTGTAAAAACCTTGCCCCAAATCAACCCATCGCTCGACGTCCCGTATGATACCATTAAAGTCTTCCTTGTCATATCGCGACAAGTCTCTGTAGATAATAGTTGCAAAATTAATTGCTCCGTTATTTCGCCAGGAGGTCCCAGTGTGTGAGCCGTAAGATACCGCAGATCTATATAGGGCCATCAGGTCAAACCGTCGTTTAATCGTCAAAATATCTCGTTCACCCTCATCTTGCCGAATTCTGGAGAATATTGTTGCCACAGTACTGTAATTTCGCGCTTTATTCACGCTGCCATCGAAGAATAAGGCAGGGTTTTCCGCCCAGCTTTTGAGACGACTCTGCAGCCCAGCCGATAGCTCAATCGTTGAGATATCCGTAATCTTCTTGATCGTTGTCTTTTGCTTTGGACCTTTAGGTTTTGCTGTTAGCATCCGGGAGAACTTCTTAAACGCAGATCTATCATCTTTGGAAAGCGAGTCGAGACACGACTCGACGTAATCCGGGTCCTCCTGTACATGCTCTAAAAGCCGACGGAGTAAACTGAGAAAGTCGTTGTTGGCCATTTTATCTAGATGTTCAAGTTTGAGAAAAAAAGACAAAGAGACAAAAGAAGAGATGGACAGGTGGAAAAATGGCCCCCTATAGGGGAGGGCGCTTCGAAAGTTAAATTGTGGTATTTTGGAAGAAAAGTACCATAATTTAACTTTAACCTCCGCTGCGTCCCTCAAAAAAGGGTAGATCATAATGGGGCCGAAAGTTAGTTTGATTCAAGGCCCAGGCACGCCGTGTGGAGTCGTTCTATGTAGCGATGATACTCGAGTAGATCATCAACGAGACAACAGTGCCATTCGTATAACCCTTATTCTCGTAGACACCTATCTATAAGAAAGCTCACCGCCCCTTGGGCATGGATGCCTTTCTACCCCATACGAACCATGTATTCTGCCTCGTACCGAATGGTTCGCAATTTTCCCCCAGCTGCTCCACAACATGGTTTGGATGAAGTGGTGTCTAAGCATGCAGCCGATGGAACCGGAGTCGCGCAGCACCCTTCCGCTATCTATTCAAGGTATGTATCGTATGCAATGGCCCCTCTTACTTCGGAAGGTTTTGACACTGCGTAGGCAATGGTGTCCCTGAGTCAAATGATCATGAAGCGGAGGCCGCCCACCCCTATCCTCTATTTTCCCGGATAGGACAATGCCTGGGTTTGCGCCAGAAGAAATCGAACTGCGTGCTCACCAAGTGAGTGAGCATTCTTTCCCCTGGACAACTAGTGGTGACAAAGAATTATAGGCCTCCAGGCGATCGTCTCTTCCCTGAAGATGTAGGGACCGTTCTTAACGTATACGGAGAAGACATAGAGTACCCGCGACTTAGGATCCTGACACATACGGGCTGCATAAAAGATGGATACTGCAACATAGATGACTTGCTGCTGATGCCGGATGCGTGGGTGGCGTACAGTCAATGGGACGGAAGAGCGCTCACACCTGAGATCGAACGTTTAATCCCAAAGTGTCACACTTGGTGTGTACGTCCTCCACCCAAGCGCAGCTAGCAACTACTAACATTAGAGTATCAGGTCGGGCCGAAAGTTTATTAGTGATCCTACTTCCGTATTCGTGAAGGCATATGGGGGAGTACAAAGGGGAAAACTTAACGGAGCATATCCTGTCTTGGCGCTTGTGACACTGGCGGGAAATGGGCACTCCGAAAGTGTATTTCTATCAAGCGTACACGTATTTTTGGAGTCAGAGGGAGTGGAGAAGGCCATCAAACCCCACGACTGGGAAATTCTCATCGACTACTGGGGAAAAGAGATATACGCCGGAGCCGTATAAGCTTTATCCACAAATATTCGCGTCTTTGGCTTGAATGTATCTTTAAACTTTGATTTCTGTACAACTCTTCTCTCTTTCCATGCAGACTTACCCCCCGCGCCGCAAAGACCAGTGTAAACCTCAACTTGATTCTTTCTTTACTATTCGGTTTACCTTCTGTTAGGCTTTCTACCCGATATGTGGATTAGAGTATAAAGGGAGCAACATGTCTGTTAGATATCAAGGTAATAACCTGTCATCCAGCAAACTCAACCTCAACACGCAAATCTCAGATATAAGCTGTACCTACTATACTCACAATGCCTACCGACCAAACTTTCCCTGAATACCACAATCCCCCTGCTGGGGTACCGCTGTCCGAAGATAATCGCAGAACACGCAATCTTCCAACTGAAGACGGATTCGCAGACGCTGCATTGTCTCCCGTTCAGAGAAAACCTGTTACTAGGCCAGGGCCGGGACCAAAAGGAATGGCCGAGGCTGGAATCGTCACACAGAGGGTCCGGGCTTCCAAGCTGGAATACAAGACTGTGGAGGAGATGTAAGTCAATCGGACCTTGTGGCGGCGTTTGACTAACATAGGGAATAGATGGAACGAAAGGGAGCAGCGGTACAAGATATCAGGAGCAGTAGAGGTCCCAAAGGTCTCTAAGTTAGATGAGTACCTATTCGTGGTCCGCTCTCGAACCTGTAAGTGGAAAACCAGCTGAGCAAGCTCATCTAATATCTGTTAACGCCACTGAGTAGATTTACACGCCACTCAGCCAACGGTGTATATCGATATCAAATCGGAGCATTTGCGGGATATACTTAGGTGTTTACTCGAAGGCGTTAGAGCAGTAAAACTTGACGGGGATATGCCCTCAGTGCGTCAACCTATCTCCAGTTCCCGTAAATTACTGACCACGGCTCTAGGTCAATCGCGATCTACTGTTCAACCTTCTTCCTAGGCTAGAGGGCCCAGGAGCTGAAGCGCCCAAAGCTAGAGAATCCTCTGCTAATGCGGTTCAACATTTAAATATACTAGTCGACCACATCAAAGCTGCCTACAGAGAGACCGAAAACCGTCTCCAGTCACTCGTTTCAAGGGGCGAAATCACGTATGACTTACTCTGGGCACTCTTTAAACCGGATGAGGGGGTATATACGCTACATCCTGGGACCGACGCGCCAATGGCGTTTATATTCAACTCAGCAATGGAAAAAAAGGGCCAGGATATACCATACTTTGGCATGGATGGCCACTGCTTTGACTTTCACGGCATTGGTTTTGGCCAGACAAGGATTGTCGTCTGTATCGCTCGCTTTTCTGGGGTAGTGCGTATCTCTGATCTTAGGGTTTTCCCTCTCCAATACCATCCTGAAAAGGAAAAGGTGAAGTCGCGACTTCGAGTGAATGGAAAGAAGTTTATAGACATGATGTCCGGTAGACACTGCTACTACAAAGGCATAGCCCACATCGAATTGGAAAGGGCAAAAATATATCGGTTGGGGGTTGATGGGAGGATCATGGTTGACCCTCATAGGTTCCGACAGGTTAATCCAAACTATCCTAAGCTACGGGAGACAAATTGGCTCAAGTGTTCTGGAAAGAAAACGAGCGACCTGTCGGAGGACGATCTTCTCTTTTTTGCGCCTACTCTATTTGGGTTCAGTTTCAAGGATAAGTTCTGGGGTAAGATATTTAATCCCGCTGAGGAATATATATAGCTAGTTAACTAACCCTTGACAGGAGAGTTTGCGATCGACAATACCAGCGAAGTTACATGGTCAGAGGCGTCGTTTGATCAAGTAGTTATCCCTCAGGGGCGGAAGGAGATAATACTTACTATCACCGACCGCTATTTAGCTACTACACGGGGAGAGGAAGAGGTTCGACCCGACGATTTGATCTTACACAAAGGGAGAGGAAAAGTTATGCTTCTTTCGTAAGTGGCGGTCATCCCCTTATCGAGGTAAGTACTAATTGGGTGCAGCGGGCCCCCGGGAGTCGGCAAAACCTTAACCGTGGAAGCCTTGGCAGAAAGCAAGCAGCGGCCCCTCTATGCGGTATGTTTTAACTCATCGTTCCGATCGTGGTGGATCTATACTCACTTCTTAGATATCTATGGGGCAATTATCTTCCGATGCGGCCGATCTAGATATTCAACTCCGTGAAATTTTCGAAACAGCGGCGCGCTGGGGAGCCATCCTCCTATTTGATGAAGCGGATGTCTATCTAGCACGACGGTCACCAGAAAATATCGAACGTAGCCGCCTTATAGCCGCTTTTCTTCAAACGCTCGAGTATTTCGACGGAGTCATATTCCTAACCACCAATCAGGAGCAGAGCTTTGATCCAGCTATTTTGAGCCGAATTCATCTAACTTTCACCTATGAGAAACTCAATCGTGACGCTAGGCGAAAGATATGGCAGTTCTTTATAATAAATGCTGGTGGCACCAGTATCAACAAAGTCGAGCTTGACTCCCTGGCCACGGTAAACATAGACGGGCGACAGGTATAGGAAACCCCAAACCGGAGATAAATATTGTCGCTAATTGATCTTTTAGATTAGAAATACAATGTCAATTGCGCGTGATCTGGCAGCGAAGGATGGAGATCTGCAGTTTTCACACATTAAATCGGCACTTTCCACCTGTTCGATTAGCGTTCTGGAGCCAGGCTTCACTGCTGTAGGCCATGGCTTATACGATTAGCTAGTTCTTTTTATTGTCGTTTCGTTTTCTATTACGGATGTAACTAAAAATTTATATGCCTTATTCATGATAATCTGAAAGCAGCTATATACATAGTAGTTATCACGTGGCAGAAACTTCGCGGATAAACTTTTACCTTTAAACTTTCAATCGCTAGCTTAGATTGAGGAGGCTTGGCAGGCACTTTCTGTGCCTGAGCCGCAACTGAAAAATAGAGTTAAAGGCCCACAGAACCCTCGCTTCCACCATATTGAAAAAGGAAAGCCTTTTGCTGCACATTCTTCGCCTGAATTTACATCGACGTACTTGAACATTACATAACTAGTATATCCAGCGGCCACCCATAAAACAGACTTCCCAAACCCCTTAGCCCTATACACTCTATTTCTTGGATACCATTACCTAGTCGCTTCACATTCGCCGACCATGAAGAGTCGGATTATGTGGCCGGTTATCCGTCTCTTACTTTGTACCTACTTCTGAAGCCATACTTGCACCCTAGCCCTGGGGTCTATACCCATAGAAGAGTACTCAACCACCACTTATACCCCAGTTTTGAATTTTTCGTCTACCGCTCATTATCAAATATGGATATATCTCCCGGTTATGCAATTCGTGCGGTCGTTGCAGCCATTATCTCGACCCTTCCTCGAAACTCAGAGTATCTGATACCCGACTATAATACGGCCCACAATTGGCTGATTGAAGACGAGGACCTAGCGAAAGTTCTGAGCGGAATCGGGGTATCCTTTACAATAGATGAGGACGATTATATGCTATCGTTCTTCTCCTAGGAAACTTACTATGCCGATAAAATCTACTTCTGGTAGAACTAAGAGCTAAGGCCGTTCAAGTTTGAACCGTGCAAGGTACGCAATAATGGCACCAGCTTATAGGAATAAACCTAATCTACCATAGATACATCAACAGAAACAGACTTGCTTGAACCGGTGCACCGTATAACTTCTGCCATTGCTAGGGCCCCAGTTAATAACCAGTAGATAAGGAGCGTATTTGATCCTACAAGTAAGCAACCCGATATGGTTAGTTACTTTAATACAACCATGCGGTCTTGCTTCCCTGGGCTAGGGGGTAGAGGAGGTAATTTGGGCATATCTATTCAAGCCATTCGCACTTTGACCTCAGAAGGAAATATCTATATTAAGTGAATCACCGGACGTATCTCCCGAGGATCAAAGATGTGGAGAGTAGTAAATCATAATAAGCATCGAGAATGAACCAGGGACCCTTTGTAACCTCAGCTTTTTGTACGAGGTTGTCAAATATTATGCTTAGCTAGTCATGCAACTACACTGCCAGCTAATTTGTCACCCACATATTCTTACTCCTTGCATATTCGAGCAGAGCTCTCATCTGTACTTAGACCTGCAAGCTCGCCTGTATACACTCAGTTTACTGCCCATTTATACATTCAACCAATCATCATTCGCTGCTCGTACTCAACTTGCATTCACCAAGATAACTAGTAGAGGCTTAGCAGCACCTTTCTGAGTACAACGGCTTCACATATATCAAAAAATGCAGATCGCAGCATGTCTGAATACTCCCAGCGCACCCTTCCTCGATAAATAACCAGATATCCAGTGGCTTGCGGTCTGTGGGCCCTTGGTCCTGGCTGGAGGGTGCTTATGGATAAACATAAGTTTTGCGAAAATGATTTCCAAGTCGTTGTATAACCGCATGCCGAGATGAGCTGGAGGGTATAGTCTAGGTAGTAACAACAGATTGATAGAGGCCGTCAACCACAGCTTTCTCAGCCTCAAGTTTCCGCACAGCAATTACAGATTACCGCACCTCCTAGCCAGTTGCAACAACATTCTTCCCCAGAGGATCAATTAACCCAGGAATTCAATCGTTTAACCATCTCGAGGCCACGGCAATTTGATACACTCTCCACAGCACTAAGTTCGATAGAGTAAGATTCAGATGACATGGATGTTTTGGAGACACCCACCACATGGCCTCGAAGCCAACACGGAGGAGAATTACTGCCGCTTAATAGCTCAAATTTAATGTCAGAATCTGCCATTCGGCCAAAAGGCGAGCCCGCACCGACTGGAGGCAGAGAGACTTGTTATATTTGACATTTAATGAACACTGAGACGTCGGAGAATACTAAATCCCCGTCTCGTTCTTGGTTTCTCTGGGGTTAGGGATACGGACACTCACCACCGCCGTCATTGCGCTACTGCTTTCTCTAGGTATGATTGGCTAGTTTGGCTACACCGGACTAATTATCCAGCATTCAGCGCGAGATTCGCGACTTGCGAGCAGACTGTACCATTTGCTTCCCTTATATAAGTTCTTCGATATGTCGCCCACCAGGTCCGAGATAATAAACAGCCACCCGATCGGGGACCGGCTAGATACCTTTGAGGATTTATACGGCGTCTGCCAACCAATATTCGACTCCGGAGCTCCTATCTCAGTAGAGGGAGACATGAAAGACAACGCTAAGAACAGAGTGCTGGATTTTCTTGTGGCTTTACCAACTATTTCTACTTGCCGTATATTACGTTCTGCAAGGGGGTCCGGTGCACTTTACACAGATATCTTACGAATTGCGGCCAACTTTGAAGTTAAGCCTCTCCTTCCTCTGTTAAAAGCAGTTCGTGACAAAGAACCCGATGAAACTATATGGGATAAGGTCTATGAGGCCGTCACTGAGTCGACGCCCCTCCCCTGTCCGCTCTCTTTCCGGCAGACGCCCTGGAGCCGAAATACAGGTAGCTCTATCAACTCAAACGAATACCGAACTGACACGGATAACCTACTGAAGGAGGAGCTAGATGACCTATACATTGATATACCAGGGTTCTACGACGTTTTCTTTAGAGATACTGCAGAGCAGTTCTACGCCCAAGAGGTCTTTGAGAGATGCAAAGAAGGAGACGACCCGCTATACCGCGAGGGAGATGGCTGGACGGGATGGCCCGAGGACGCAAAGGAGAGGCCGGTGCTGACCTGGATGTCGCGGATTATCGGCAGGATCACACAGATCTTTGAGGAACACACGTCCAGCGAAGTCCAGAGACGGCCCCTAGCGCAGCCTCACACGCCGCTAAAGGGGTCTACGGCCGACCGCAAGCTAGACGTTGGATTCGTAGACAACCCGGAGGCCGATGAGAATTCTAGATGCCACTGGTCCCAGATACTTGTTCTAGGAGAGCTAAAGAACGACCAAAACTACGACATCCAGTCTAGAGCATGGCTCGACCTAGGGAGGTATGTAAGAGAGGTACTAGCCGCACAGGACTCCCGCCTCTTTGTACCAGGCTTCACGCTCTGCGGGTCATATATGAGGCTGTGGCACTTCGACCGTCTAGGAGGAGTCGCGTCAGAGAAATTTAATATCCACGAGGAGGGCCTCCGGTTTATATCAGTAATACTTGCGTATCTACTGATGAGTGAGGAGCAGCTAGGGTTTGACTCGACTATTATTACCGCCGATGGCTTACGCTATATTGAGATCCAGCGGGACGGCGGGAAGGAGCGTCTAGTTATTGACGAGATAATCAGGCGTACGGCCTGTATCTCTGGGCGGGCGACGACGTGCTGGAAGGTACACCGCGAAGGAGATGAGTCTCAAGCGCCTCTCGTAGTCAAGAACTCATGGCAGTACCCGGAGCGCGATGAGAGGGGAAGCTACTTCGCGAGCTACGAGAGGGGTAGTTACGTTGCGCGGTACTACCACCATGCAACAAGTCCCGGTGGGGAGTAGAGACTGTGATATCCGCGACGGGTTAGGAGGGGGCTAGATATACGACGCAGTACTACAAGCCGGCCGGCTCTAGGCCTCCGCTAAGCAGGAGCGGATCCCGTAAGGGGAAGAGTAGTCGCGTCGCTAGTCGGAAACGATCTTCTACTTATATCGAGCCATCACTACCTCCTAGCAAACGCTCGCAGTCCTACCCGCTATCGCCTCCTAACCGTATCTATCGTCAGGTTATTATTCAGGACTACGGCAAGCCGATCTATAGGGCAAGCTCGAGGGTTGCACTACTTGCGGCTCTGGAAGGATGCATCGAAGGGTATGAGTCCCTTTATCGACTGGCTGGTATGCTTCAGAGGGATATATCCCCTAATAACCTTATAATCAATGAGGATGCGGATGCGGAAGATATATCCTCCTGGAAGTCGTTTATCATCGATCTAGACCTTGCTATCAAAGAAGACCGGGAGGATACTTCGGGGGCGCGAGGCAAGACCGGCACGCGGGCATTTATGGCAATCGGAGTCCTTTTGGATGATGAACAACACTCCTTTATGCACGATCTTGAATCATTCTTCTGGGTCTTATTCTGGATATGTATCCACCACGATAGCCCCGAGGACAGTCAGGTTGTTAAACGCTTCGAAAAGTGGAACTTTATGGATACAGAGGAGCTAGCTGATATGAAGATTGGTATAATCGCTGAGGAAGATAAATTTCTAAAGACAACTACTAAATACTTTACGGAATACTATCAGCCGCTTGTACCTTGGGTTAATAGGCTACGGCGGGAGGTATTTCCCAGTGGCGGAAGGTGGAAAACGCCTAACAAAAATCTATATTCTAGTATGAGGGAAATTCTTCGAGAAGCCCAGAAGGATCCTGATGTTATTGGGCTAAACTGAGTTTTTTCTACTATATATATATGTTCGTTTATGGGACAAATGAGTAATAATATTGTTATATAGTTTGTCGACCGTTATGAGTTGATGCCACACTTTTACCGGGTCGACAGTGACTTGCTTCAATAATAAGAAGAGGCAGAGGAAAGGGAACATTGTCCATAGCCTCTGGTTAAACCATCATACAATGTACCAAAGTGTTCGCCGGCAAATAATCACCCAGGCGTGTTTAAGCCTGCCCGGGATAGAGAGATAATCTCAGAATTGCGCGCGTAGACCTATTTATGTTCCGGTCCCGCTATAGTGGAATAGTATGTATCCGTCTCACTCTCGATATTGGCGTATGGCAGCCGGCGCGAGGTGGTTGCCATCGACCCCTCAAAGACCACGCTTCCTGGTGTAGTCCACCTCCTGTACACTAAGCCGTATAGTCTGCCCTGACCAGATAGGAACGAAGCTTATGTCGACCATCCTGCACCGTTAAGCCTACACCTGTTGACAGGCTGTTATTTCTCATGTACCCCACAAATCATTCTATGGCAGCGGAGCCAGAACGGTACTCTAGGCGCGACATCTAGAGGGCTTATTACATGGTAAGTCAGCCTGTACTATGTATGGCATTAAAGGTGGCCACCCCGTCGCCAAGAGCGTACACCAGGAGAGCCAACCTAAAAAATTAAATGCGGGCCTGCTCATGCTGGTGTTGTAGCAACATTGGGGGAAGGACGCTCTGCTTTAGGCATTGTGTAGGGCTGGTAAGAATCTCCTAGGATTTCTTCGGAATCTCGAGGCAGCTTGCTCCTTTTTATCTATAATGTCATGACTACACATTATGTAGTTATAGTAACCTATGGAGGTCATTAAGCATGAGGTCGTTTCCAAGTTTGAGGATGGCATAGCCAAGTGCACTTTAATTTACGGAGCGAAGCGAAGTATATTGTATTCCAAAAAGTAGATATATATACTACATAGTATGTAAGGGTTCCAAAGTGCGTATTTGTGGGTCTGCTTTAAATTACGTGATTGGTTGAATCCTGGGCATTTGGCATTGATGATCTGCAGCTGCATGAGTAGTGGCTTGGCAGCTTAGTCATCTACCCCATCAAATGATGCGATGCTGATCATCACATGTGATAGATGCTAGTCAGCTGCTTCTCAGATCTCGAGTGAAACTATGCTGAGCATCATCTTGTCAGCGGTCACGTGATACTCTTTTCTGAATATTCATCTTGATATATCGCTCCATACTTATAGATAGCTCTGCTAGCTATAGGAGAAAGCTTAAGCTTTTGACCTAGTAGTGAGTTTACATCTGGGCCGAGAGGTGACAGGAGACAGTTGTTCAGCCTATAGCTCAGATATTGCAAACTGCGGGCCTAGGGGAGCTGGTATAAAGGATATCCAACTCGCGCTGTATTCTTCTCTAACTCTTTCGCAGTTTCAACTAGGATTGCCCTGATAGTCCTCCCTATTTTCTTGTCTTTCCGATCCTAGGGGTGGAAAGAAGGATGCAAACCGACGTCCTATTACGGACTTCGATGGCAAAGCTATCGCTTGAGCCCCACTCAATTACACATAATTGCGAGCGTTATTTTGTTCTATTTTGGGCCAGTATATGACCAGAGTCAATCGCGCGTGAGGGTCGATTCTCCGTTTCCGAGTGCTGAATTTTGATTTTAAAGCCACCTCTTGGATAGGTCTTGAGATTTGGCTACGCATTATATACTGAACCTAGCATCCATACATTCTGGTATCATTAGCCCCCCCCTGCAAATGGCCCAGCGAATCGTTGCAGCAATCAATCAGCTATGGGAGGGCATCAAACAGTATAGGGACCCCAGCCAGAGTTATTTGACTGAACATAACAATCGGGGATCAGTGCTTGACCAAAAAGCAATCTCTGAATGGCAGTACTGGTGCTCAATTGAGAAGGGAGAGCTCGAAGTTTCCCACATTATTACACAAGGTTGTAGACGAAAGTGGACGGTGGAATTCAGACCGGACAGAGCCTCAAGCCAAAGAACTGTCAAGTATTACGGTTCCCAGCCAGCCGTACCGTCCACAGTGCCTTGTTGTTTGTTACTTGACGGAAACTGGAACCGATTCGAACAGGAATGGGAAGCTTCTGAAGGAATTCCAAATTAGACATGCACTGAAGTTTTGTTATATAAAGCCGATGTGAGGAAGGGTTCACCCAGTCGTTGAATGATGGGGCTGCCGGTGATTTTCAAGTTTCCCCCTCTGGGTTTAGCTTATAACTAGCTTTCGTCTTTGAATGAATAGCTGATGTTAAATTTTCCAAAGTACACATGTTCTGTCGGTGTTAGAGTATAGTTGAATGATTATAATTATCCTAGTAGCCAAAGTGTATTTTGAGAAAATGAACCGGGCCGTCGCCGTTCCAACATCAATGGCCGATAACTCAGGAAAGGGCAAGGGAAAGGGAAAGGAGGGACCCAACGTCGGGGAAGCATCTTACGGGGTTATGATATCCCCAGCCAGGGCGAATGCTATGATTTCTTCCGGCAAACGTTCTCAAGACAAACGAATAGAAATCAACCGTGAAATGGCGTTTCAAAAGCTGATGGGGAATCTGGGAGCCATGGAGAATCAAGGATCGAGTCAGAAGTAGAAATACCACTAGCATAGTGCTGATTCACCGAAAGCGTGCCGAAGTTTGTTGTCGTATTCTCTTCGGTCTCCTATCTTTTTATTGATAGTGTCCGTGACATTAAATGCCCAGTGTGATGTCATGATGAGACCGTATTCCTGTTGATACTGTTCATATATGTCTTCCCTAAGGAATTTCGCTTGAATCCTATCAATGAATAGGCGGAAGATAGCAACAGGATTTTGTAGAGCAAGTGAATACCAAAAGGTACCCATCTCCCATCCTCTTATCATAATTGCTGATAACTGCGGTTGTCGATTGGTATCACGTTCTTCCTGGGCTAAGATTTGTATGAATTCCGTCCATAACTTTTTATATTCATCTTCATTAATATGATCAACGAAATCACCAGTAAGCCAATAAGGTGGATGGGTCATCTCAATTGGTAGAGAACATCCCCATTCAAGATCCACAAGTGAAGTAATGTTCCACTTCTTATCAACAAATATATTGCTCTGGTGAAGATCAGTTAAAGAGAATATAAATGGGCCCCGGCGTAAGTCTCGTCGAAAGAAAAGAGGAATTGAAACACGAGCTCCAGTTAAAACCGTTGCCTGCTGTATAAAGTCTGAGCCATTATTAATAGTATTTGGTTGGTAGAGTAGACGGTTATTGTGAATACCCACAATATCAGTAATATAAGAGTCTGTAGTTGAGTAGATATAATCGCGGGGAATATCTATAGGAATTTCATCATTCTCTAGCTGTTGAATTTCGAGAGTTAACGGCCGATTAGATAATAAGATAAAGCCGTTATTATCTATAACAAATGATCCAATTTGGGGCAGAGGGATACGGGCAAGGCTCAGCATTATACGAGCAAGACTCTGGAATAACGTAGTCCTCAGGGTCGTATTGTTTGAATCCTTAGCCCAAGTATCCGAGAGCATCCTTCCTCGGTTTGGCTCAATACACTCTATTAGAATGTATCCGAGGTCTGGCGGGGTTGCAATGGGATGACGGACGTATTGAGATAGAATTGTATAATCAGACCATATGAATCTGTTGATCCATGAGAGTATTTGATGATATATACGGTGATACAATCTGGTGAGAAGTGGTAGATTCCCTATCATAGTGAACTAGGACTATTAGCTAGTTCTGTTATATAAAATAGAGTAGGAGACTTACTGATTCACCAGATGATAGGGAGAATCCATAAAGTTGTGGAATGGGGATATCAGGATGATTTTCCTGAAGCCATGCATAGGTGCCGGCCTCACACCTGATCTTTTCATCAGCGTTACCTGGCCTAAACGCTTCCCCAACTTTGAATGGAAGAGGTAGTCGAAGAAGAACGCGATGTTTAGACTGGCCTCTTATCCAGCCTTGAATAGTAACTGGGATACATATGTTGAAACTACCCTTGAGCCATTCCGCCGATTCGGCCAAATCGCATCTCGAAGGGTCGATGTTTAGATGATGAGCAACAACACTCTTAATCCAGCCATCCCTATTCGCAAGGTCTGTGAAGAAGCGGGTTTGATCCTCGAAGTATCGAAGTTCGTTGAGAATGTTGACCTCCTCGTTTTTGATATCAGAGTAAGTTATTTCCTTCTCTTCCCGAAGAAGGCGTCGTTTCTTCGCAGCGGACATTCTTTCTGTGATAATGATGATGTGATGGTAATAGCGATGTGGAAATTGACATTGACATCCGAACGAGATGTTAAGCTAAGCCAAGACTACCTTATAAATCCCTGGAATAGGTGACAAGTCGTCTATACTGCGCTTTTTCTTTTCGACTTTTTTGTCCCTAGCTTCCCGTTTACCATTTGATACGTTTTGTTGAAGAGAGAGGAGGGCGTCTGTAAGCTTAGTGACGAAATAATCACCATGTGGGCTTGATGCTGCATCCGGGAAGCGGTGTTTGAGGGAGAGAAGGAGGGGGCGCTCTGGTTTAGACATCATGTAGGACTAGAATACGTATCTGATATTCTTCTGGGGTTTTGTCATTTTACTAAGTACATGGACTAGACTGACCTCATTAAAAGAGCTAACATCATCTGGAGATCGATTGTACTTTTGCGATTGGTGGCTTAGTTAACTTACTAACTAGTTAATTGCAATCTAGCCCGGGCCGGTACATGGGTTAATGTGAAGTTGAATGTGCGCGAAGATATATAAATTAAATCCACTCCAAGAGAAGCAGAGCGAATTCAGGTGAATAAGCAGGAAGGAAAAACAGCCACATTCTCTTACTAGATCCGGAAAGTCATGCAAAGGGGCTGTTGGTTTAGTGGTATAATACCCCCTTAGCATGGGGGTGGTCCAGGGTTCGATTCCCTGACAGTCCATTTTTTTCGTCTTTTTTATGTACTCTTGTTTATTTTTCTTCTTTGATCATATTTTTCGTCTTTTTATACATTGTGATCTATATCCTTTTTGCGTGGTAGTGGTGGTAGTCGTCTTACGTGCTGTCACACTGCCATCGCTTCTGACGGCCACTCCGGTCGAGAGTTGGTCACAGTAACATCTCAACCGTGTCAAGCTATGCATACATAGCCCTCCTTGATGCATAAGAAGTACATAAAAAAAGTACACTCGTACATACGGTGGACACCATCTCGCGGCCTCTCCGGCACGCTCTAGAGCATCGACTGGTGGTTTTTCCCGGGCCTTCGGTGGTGCCGTCTCTTCCACGAACAAGCCACTCCCACGACACATCAGACCATCCACATCGTCATACACACATGTACGTCGCGGACGGGTCGAGATACATCATTCTGGTCGCCTGTTTTCTCCGTACTCCCAAGGGTTCCGGAGATCTGTCGGAGTTGTCTACCCGTGTACAGCTACTCAGCCATCTTCATCCTTCTCTCCCCCTCCTCCTTCATGTGTTAGCATGGAACGGAATAATGGCTTATCGCTTCATCTAGCCGTAAACAGGTCGAAGAAAAAGGGCGAAGAAGAGAAAACGCCGCCTGCGCCAACGGATTATTTGTAAACAAGGAATTCATTCACTTGTGTTCATTATGGCTTGTTTGGGCCATTAAATCGACCCCCCTTTCCTGGGGTGGCTGATACTGGATATATCTACGAATGCAACGACCGATGCATGATCGTGATACTACCGTGTGGGTTATATCTACATCGTATGCATGGTCAGTGGTCGGCTGAGGCTACCGTCCCTTTACTGTTTTCTGCGATCGTGGTGTTTCGGTCAAATCCGCCCCTGATGATGATCGTTTCTTAGCAGACAGAAGCAACCACTAAGCTGTGAACCTGCGCCTACCGACTGCTACGGCTCCGGCACGGCATGGCATCCGCCACGAAAAGCGCAGACAAGCTCTTCGGCCGGAAAGATTTTTTTTGTTCTACTAAGATATATTTAATAACGGTTCAGCCTCCAGTTGGTTTGGGTTTTTGAAAAGAATATCAAATTCAAGCCTTACAGAATTAATTCCAATATCAACTCCACCACAATCAGAAAACGCCTCTGCTTCAGATAGTGCAACTCCGTATCGCCTTCTTTTTTCCCCCCTTAGCCATAATACGGAGTACGGGGCAGTACTATATTTATCTCTCGAAGAAAGGATTGCCACACGAAATTCTTGAAAGGGGCGAACTTGTTTCTTGAGATATCTTGATATTTCTTTTTTCTTATATACCTTGTTGGCCGCCAGCTTAATTGCTCCAACTCGAAATACCCCCTTTCTCGAAAATTTTGCAGCTTTGCTACAAAAGCGGACCAGATGTCGACAGAAACATTATACGCCGGATCCTGGGGTCAAGGACAGATGAAATCCCGGTCACTCGACATATATACACACGACACAAAGGCTGTGAGCGATATAGCACTGGCCGAGTCAAGACCAGCAGCCTTCAACTCGAAGCAACGGATGGGATTCTGGTCAAAGTTCAAACGCTCCAAGAGCCAAAACATAAGCAACTACAACACCAAACCAAACACAATACCCCAGCGAGCAAAATCAGACGCAAATCTAGTATGGTGTCCTGAACAGAAGATATGGCTCTTTGCACGCCAACCCATCAGCCACTCGTCACCTTCCTCCCGAGAACAACAACTCAACTCAAAATCAAAGCATACTTCCACCACTACACTCCCACCGCGAGCCGAATATGATGAAGACGAACTCCTTTTCGCCCAGCTACCAGGTCACTATTGTCTGGGTATATACACTGAGGCCAACAACGAGCCCATAAGCCCCTGTGAGCCAGACTATTTTGACTTCTCGAGGCAAAAGGCCGTGCGCGAGAGCAGATGGATGGCAGTTGCCCAACGAATCGGACCAAAGAGCCCCGTGGGATGAGTGAGATGTCAGGGCTACCATGGATGTCCGGTACTTATTTACTAGTCAAGTTGACATGTTCAGCTGAAGGTAGTTGGCGGATGCGCTTCGCTATTTGGAGACGGTGCCTCCCAGACCACTGAGCAACTTACCACGTCAATACAGAGGCATAACTCACCGACTACTCTTCAGTGTCGACCCGCTATATTAGCCTTTCCTCTCGCAGGTCGAGATAAAGGAAGAAGCTTTCCCATGGGAACGGCCTGGACAAGACCAATGAACAGGATAACTATTGGAACGGGATAGATAGACACAGCCACCGAAGGGAGATATTGCCCTTCCCCCCTTAATCACGACTAAGGGCATCGTGCCAACAAGCCCAAGTCGTTGTACAACACCACAAACAAAGAATAATATAGGCTTTGGAAAGATAATATTAATAATATTAATAATACGGCATTGTTGCTTTAATGGCCAATATTTGCTATCCAGCTCTCTCCCCTTTACGCTTGGAGAAATAACAAAAAAGCACAGCCCCCTCCCCTCTGGGGTGGAGCGGTTCTAATCCAATGTAGCATTCCTTTCAACCAGGAAACAAGTTACATCGGTCTTTAGAACTACAATCGAAAGGCCCCAGGACTCGTACTTTCCAAGCCTCTTACTATGTACAGTTGTTTGCATTCTAGGTACGGCCTTTGGAAGTTAAGCGCGGGAAGCCATCACTATTATGCGGGGTATTGTACCTAGATATCTAGCTACCCGGCTGTCAAGATGGCGGTCAATGGGGAGGTAGCGACCACACACACAGCCGCACGCGAGTCTTCCACTGGAAGAAGAACGCTACGTGGCATTTTATTTATTAACCCCTCCTCAAGAGAGGATGGGAAGAGTTTTCCATTTTCCAAGGGAGAAAGGACAGCCAAAATACGAAAAACATGGGAATACTTCCTTGACCTAGTCGAGGCTAAATGAGACCTGAGACCTGCTATGCAGGGGAAAGGGAAAGAGCTTCACTGTTGCTCTTCGCATAACTAACACTCATAGTTGGCTAAGACATGAGTAGCGAATCTAAGATCGACGACCGCAGAAACGTACGCGAAAAGATTGCGAATTGCCCAGCTATAGCTACGTTGTTGGAATTGGGAAACTCTTTGCCAACCGTCCTCACCTTTGAGTAGCGATATTGGAGGACCTGGATACTAGCTGCAAGTCTGCCAATTTATCCGCGGATCTGGCTAGATGATGGTCTCCAAAAGTGGTCTCAAGAAAGATTAATACCATCCACAATGATCTTCTGCGGGCCCTAGAGAGCACAACTTCTAGTCTCAAACACAAGCAAACAGTTTGTAAATTGCTACGACTAGCTGTTAGGTATACGGCATACTTGGTCTAGAAGGGAGACAAGCAAAGACGAATACCCGATCCAAGGAGAAGAAACACTTATGTCCGTATGATGTGATACCCAAGTAATAATCTACGGACTCCATACCCACTTGCACCTCTTCTTTCATCAAGGGGCCATCGCGATGTATCGAAGTGCATGCAGGTCGCATGAATTTTGAGGATGCAGTAAAATACCCTATGCTTCTATACATACGTTGTGCGTATATATAGCTTGGATCTTTTCTCCGTGCTGGATGCATTAACTATATAGTCTAACTCAATATGATAGCACCAAAGAATGGGCCGTTTATGCCCTGGTGGATGGCGCTACTTATCATTATATCCCTCAATGCACAATCAACTCTTGCCTGGACCAATAACCCATATTTTCCTGTGACTCGACTGCCACCCTCGATGCGTCCAAAGGGGAGGCTTTCCCAGAACTTCCACGATTGTGAAGAACACCAGGACGCCATAAAAAAATCTTATACCGATGCCTATTATGCGGTGAGTGAAAAGGCACAGTATTTTTTATTATTGTTTGATCATTGGTCAATAACGTCAACCCATTAATACTTTTTAATAGGTTGGCACGGCGCTCAAACGTTTGAACGCTCTACAGAGCTTTCTACAGACACGTCCCGCAGTCGACACCGTTATAAAAGGCATCGACCGCTCGACCTTGTATACTTTCGAGACACTCTTCGGCAATCTGTATAACGGACCTGGCAAGGGTTACCCTGAAGGGTACAAGAGGTTGAAAATTCTCGTTGGTTAGGAATGATCAAATCCCCAAAATTCCATAGTTTGAGTTTGATGGTTCTAAGAATATCCGCATAGAACGCCTCACCAGGCTAGATAGGTATTACCACAGCTACCGTTGGGAGATATGGTGCAGTGAAAATTTCCTGGCACCGCTTCCGCAGGATATGATCCCGACAGACAAAGGTGATGGTGAGTTGTGAATAGCTTCATTTTGATACTTACTTTGGCACTGATACCAACATCTACATAGCCTACATTTCTAAGCTATACTTTGACGACCGGCCAGAAGACCTAGGTGGTCAGCGCAGGATATACTGCCCTTTAAGATGCGGTGGTAAATCTAATGTGAGGGCTATGACCCTGCATTTTAGCGCCACTCAGTCACCAAGCGGGAGCTACGATATCGTTGTCCTCTGCCCGTGGTATTTCGACAACTGGTTCGGAGGTGACGACACTCTGAATTCACCCCTGGACGGGCTCAGGCAGCATCAATTTGACGACAAGTCGGTACACCTAGACATGATCTCACGTAAAACTCTTGCGTTGACTTTGATCCATGAGATAACTCATTCACTGAAGCTCTTTCCATATCCCATGAGGGCAACAAGTGAGGTTTCCCGTTCATCAGAAGAATCCTATTATATGCCGATGTCTATTGTTGATTTTATAACTAATCGCTGTCAACTTTTGAATAGGGGATTTTGGTTATTATTTTGACCAAATTACTAAACTTGCCCAGGAGGATCCTGATGACGCTATATACAATGCTGGTGAGTTGGACTCTAGAATTGCCTGACAACATCTGCTAAAACACGGAGTAGATAATACGGCATATTTTGTCATAGGTATGCGTATATTTGCTTTAAATAATTTTTGAGTATACTTCTACCACGCTTTAACCGATTGTTCCAAGCTGACCGTTAGTTTAAGCAATGCGTATGGACATGTATGACTGGAGTGAGGGTTTCAATAAACCCATGTATGCGGATACACCGTTTGATTCTGCCCCAGAATAGTATAAACCGGAGGAACATCTACCCTTCTTATACGGCGACGAGGAGTAATACGCATAGGAGGCAGACTTAAGTATCAAATCAGTCATAGATGGAACAATTTTTTATTCTTTTCTCAAAAAATAAAAAAGATATGAATATAAATAGAAGTATAAACAAAGCAAGCATGAATCAGGTCCTCTTAGTCTATGAGCCAGGAATACGAAAGAAAGAAACAAAGACGACGATGACCAGCAAATGCCATGCATCTAAAAGAAGACACCAAGATAATAATCAAGAATGGTAATGGGGAAGGAAAGACATGATAAAAAAGTGGAAAAGGGGATATCAGTTCTCTCTGGCCTGGGTATAAACAGGGGAGATGGGGGGAAATAAATGGTAAAAAATGGTACATAAGACCGAGGATGGGCCCAAGGCTGGTTGGTAGTGTAAGTTGTTGAAGGATGGGTCGCTCAGAAAAGAAGACAGGCAGACTTTTGTACTTTCTCTTTTTCTCCTGATGCTTGTTAAGGGATGAAAAAAAAAGGAGGGATGGTATAGGGAAAGGATTAAGGGTGATGAAACAACGTCTGTTCGTTAGATTGGGGAGGGCGGGAATAGTTTGTTGGTAGGTAGGTGAGAGAGGAAAAAAAAGGGGAAATGGTTCATTTAATACTTATTTCAGGGTGCCTTCTTACCACCCGTGGGTGTGGAAGGGGTTGCCTCCTGCGCTCTGGAAACCGCCACCACCGTTGTTCATCATGTTGAACAAGACGCTGGGATCAATGTGGATGTTCTGTCCCCCCATACCACCCATACCTCCCATGCCTCCCATACCGAAGCCCCCATGAGCAAAAGGATTAGAAGGATCTATCAGATCTTCTCCATTATCATAAGATTGACGTTTTCTATTTAAGAAGAAGTGGTTAGTAAATGGTGTGTGAGAGTATATAAGATGAAAGCAGAGGCTATACGTACTGAGGATCGCTCAAAGTCTCGTAGGCCTCTCCAATTTCTTTGAATAGGGTGTCATCGCTGCTGTCTCCATTAACGTTCTTGTCCGGATGGTGTTGAATGGCCAGCTTGCGATAGGCCTTCTTAATTTCAGTTTCGGTAGCGGTCTTCTCTACGCCTAGGATCTTATAGTAATCCTTTCGTTGGCTCTTCTTGAGCTCCCACTCTGCGTTTCGAATTTCCTCTTGGATTCCCTTTTCGCCGGGGTGGTTTTCCGCAATATCTTTCAACTCTTTGACGGCTTCGTCCCAGTTTCCAGCTCCTCCGTATGCCTTTGCTCGCACTCTCCTAGCCTTGAGGTAGGTTGGGTCACATTCAAGGGCCTTGGTGCAGTCGTCGATGGCCTTTTCGAATTGGTTTATATTAATGTGCGCCTGGGCACGGTTCTGGAGGAGCTTCGAGTTGATATCCTTGTTGCTGGGATCGACCTCGAGGCCCCTGGTGTATAGGTCGATAGCTTCTCTGTACTTGCGTGACTTGAACGCAGCGTTCCCTTCGTCCTTGATCCGTAAGAGTTTCTGTACCATTCGAAGACACTTGATTATCTTTGAGGAGTCAGGATCCAGGCTGAGTGCTCGTTTAAAGTGCTTAACGGCCTGGTCGTTATCGCCCTGGAGATAGAACAGCCGTCCACGCAGGAAGATGGCATCGGGATCCTGGTTGTTGTCGCGGAGCAGGGACATGGCGATGTTCTGCGCCTCGCCCAAAGCGTTGACGTTGCCCATCATCAGGAATGCCTCTACCCGCATCAGCAGCCAGTTGCGAGGCTGCTGTACTCCGTTGCCAAGTCCCCGCACGGCCTGATCCAAACAGAATAAAACCATGGAACCTCCCTTCTCACCTCGTAGGGTTTCTTCAGCTTGGGTAACGTTCCTTAACATGGCCTCGGCGGCCGCGGTATCCTTTGCTGACGCTGGGGGTCGGATGTTGGAGTATACCTGGAGTGCCTCTGCCGGACGGCCGAGGGCTGTGTATATTCTAGCCAGTCTGTGCATAATCTTGGGATTGCCTGGTTCCAGCTCGTCCGCACGTTTGGCATCGTCCAAGGCCTCTGAGTACCGGTTTGCAGATATATACGCAGCTGCTCGGTTCGACAGATATGTCGATGAAGACGGCGAGGCGTCGACAGCTATCATACGTTAACTACACCCTGATAGAGGCAGAGGATAAAAAAAAAAAAAAGAATAAGTTCACACCTTTGGTATATTCCTGGATAGCCCTGTAATATTCGCCAGCCTTGAAGAATTTGTTCCCAGCCAGCTTATGCATCTCCGGGTCGACTGGCGGGGGAGGCGGAGAGGTATGAGGGGGAGGAGTCGGGCTCCTCTCGGTGTCCTGGGGATGGCTACTGGTCCCGTTGGGTTCAGGCTTCAACGGAGTGGTACCGGTGGCCGAGAAGGGGGTGGGAGTAGGTGAAGAAGGGCCATCTCTGTCAAGGTCCATGGAGCTGCGCAAGGTTTCATCCCTCTCTGCTGCTGCTGCTGCCGCGGCCGCCATGTTTGCCGAGAGTCGACGGAGCTCGTCTGGCGGGAGGTTGAGCGGGTGCGAGTTGGGGTCGAGTGCAAAGCGGCCTCCGCTGCCTTTCTTCGACGGCTTCGCCCTGAGACCCGACGATTTGGCGGTGGAAGCGGTGTTGGAAGCAGGGGCGCCAGGGATGGCCGGACTCTGCTCTCGCCGTGATCTCGATGCCGCTGCAGCCGCTGCTGGCGTGCCAGAAGACGATCGAGGGGCTGCCCTGCTGCTCCGGGAGGAGGGAGACGAGGGCGAAGAGGCTGACGGCTGCGGCCTGGAGCTGGGACGGCGATGGGGAGCCTTGGTCGGACTGCTCTGCGCTGAGGCAGAAGTGTTGGCAGCAGCGGTGGGAGAGGCCGGCGGAGGGCCAAAGGGATCTGAGAACTCGGTCGTCTCTCGTCTGTAGGCGGGCGGCTTGTCGAGCGAGGTGCTCTTCCGACGCTCGACGGTGTCGGTCTTGCGTCGAGGCAGTGAGGGCGAGGACGAAGGGGCGTCTGCTGTCTGTTCCGCGATCGAGGATGCGGACGGCGATGCCTTGTGTTTCTTCTTGTCGACGGGTTTTGGTGACTTGAAGAATTTTGGGAGAACCATTGAAGAGTTTTTATCTTCTTTCTTCTATTTTATTTTTTTTTTTTATTTTTTTTTTTTTTGGTGGTTCGAAAAAAAGTTGTGGGAACGAAAAGGAAAAAAAAAGAAGAAGAAAGACGTTGATGGAAGAAGATGAAGAACAAGTTGACAGCAAGTTAAACCATCTCTGGGTCTGTAGATGTTGCTCTTCTTCTTCGTCGTCTTCTTCTTCTTCTTCTTCTACTTTATATTTATTAACTGGCCGAGAAGACGAAGCTGAGAAGAGACAGCAAAAAGAGGACGAAGCATCGAAGGAAAAAAGCAAAGAAACGAGATAAGAATATAAAAAAGAAACGAAAGAAACAGTTGCTAGAAGGTTCTCAAGAGACTGACTGTGTATATGAAGATTCCTCTCCAAGCCACCGATTTACTCGACTTCCAATAGGCAGAAGGCGGCGGCCAGGGGTTTTGTTTACCCGCAGACAGGAGCAGCAGGGATGATATCAGGAGACGAGACGAAGAGAAGAGGAAGAGAAGAGGATGAAGAGAAGACGAAGAGCGAGGATGCAAGATCAGCATCAAGCGGGCGAGCTGCTCACTGGCCCAGCGCCCTTCTTTTCCTCTCTCATCTCATATACTGTCAGGCATTTATGCATGGCGATGGAGGCCGGGGATGGCGGCCGGCCTGTCAGAAGTCGCCTTAGCACGCTCTCCTAAAGACTTTTTATTTCTGCTCATAACTACGGAGTAAAATGCCTGTCTTGCTCTCTATCTGAAGGGATGAACTATGGAATATATAAAACAAGATGAAACTCCACAAACCGAATGCGATCCCTGTTCGAAAAGGAGACAGAAAGAGCGAATACAAAAAAAACACAGAGAGAGGGAGGGGGGAAAGAATAATACGAATAAAACGTCATACATGATACGAGTTAAGGGTCATGGAGCTTTGGTTGCTTTGGACTCATGCCTCAATTTGCTTGAAGCAGCAAACGATGGGATGGCTGGCTGCAACTTGCGGCTCGTTGCTGTTGATGAGAGTCTAGGCCGAGACGAAGGAGGTCCATGGTCGCTCTCGCTGCTTGCTCGCCGTCTCTTTTGTGAGCCTTCAGCCTTGCTGCTGTTATTATAGCACTATACCCATGCACTTCATCAGCCCTATGCACCGCAGAGATATTTATATCAACATGGCAAAGAACTAACCTTGTAGGCATGACGGAACCACGTTGTTCCTCTCTTCTTGCTGCTGACGAGCCCAATCCACGAGTCACAGTTCTCACAGAGACCCTCCCAGATGTTGGCGTTACCCTCGCTGCGTCGTGTCTGTTTCGGTGGACTGAAGGCCTGTCCGGTCGTGGCACTGATGCCGTGCGTGAAGCTCTTGTCGTACCAGTATGCAGAGTTCTTCAGGATAAGCCAGCGTCCCGGTTTGCAGATTCCGCACCAGCCTTCACGCCTGTTTCCCTGTCCGCGTACCCAGGTGGGAGTGTACATGTCACCCTCGAAGCGAGGCTCCTGCTCGCGAGGGACCATGGTCGGGTCGGATGGGAACATGTCTTCCGGCGGAGGCCGTGTCTGGTTGTCCCTCAGTGGCTCCAGCAGGTCAGGAGGGTTAAGCAGGTCGGAGTAGTGGTCTATATCATCACGATCTCTTGACTCATTGTCGCCAGGCACAATTCGAGACACCGTCTTCTTGGTCCTGGGGCTTGGAGCCACCGTGTCCGGCTTGCCATCTTGGATGCTGGCTGAAGGGTTTGACGATGAAGCAGTCAAGGCTTTCGTTGCTTTCTTTGGCTCCGCTCTCTCCCCTGCTGGAGGGGGATAGTGGTTTCGCTGCTGCACCGAAGGGGACGATCCAGCGAAGGACCGGTTAACATGCGGCTGAGAGATGAAGGTCGAGTTCGAAGAAGAACCGTGGGTCCATCCGCTCCCGCAGCCATCGTAGCTATAGCTGCTCAACTGTCGCCCATGGGATCCAGGTGATGTGGCAGCCATCGGTCCAGGTTCAACTCTGAGACAGTCAGAGTACTGCTGATGCTGCTGCTGATGCTGGCGTTGAGGCGAGGCTGAAGGTGAAAGCGGTGTGTTGGAGAAGTAGAGTGAGCTGCAGGGAGTGAAGGCCGAGGTAGAAGAGGCGATGTCCGAGTAAGCGGATATATCGTTATACCCCATGGATGCCGAGACATGCGAAGACGATGGTTCCGTGGTCGGGATAGCAGTGTCTACAGTCAACTGTGCCATCGTGGATCGAGGTGAGTTCTCCCAGCTGGGCAACGACTCAGCTTCCGTGGATGCCCGATTGTTGAACTCAGATTCCATAGAAGGGAGCAGAACATGATTGTCCATCATACCGTCCTTATACATGCCTGCTTTTTTTCGTCAGTCTAATACACCTACAGTTAGGTCTAGGTGGCTTACCGTCGTGTAGAGAGTCAAATCTCTGCGCCAAAGAGGTTTGGTCGGAATCATGGATGTCGTATGCATGCAAGGGCGGGTATTTTGGAGGACTAGACATCAACGGCAAAGAGTATATGCTGTCGTATAGCTGCCTTGTCTGGTAGGACAGTTGCTTCGCCGGCACAGTACCACAAGCCCATGGGTATTCAGAGGACTGCATTCCTGCTTCATTTCCAGCTGCTATACCCTCCCCTCTCGTAACGTGGCCGTCAAGCGCTTGGGAAGACGGGATGTATTCGCCCCTAGCAGAGTCAGCGAAATCAAGGGCAAACCATGCATATGTATGGAAGAGGAGTGTATACTGTTGCAGGACACCCCTATACTCGATATGGCCTGTCGACATCTTTACGGAAGTTTGTATATATAGCCTCTCGGATTTGTCCAAAGATAACAAGCTCGATGCCTGCAACGAGTTCGAGGCAGAATTAAGATTATTAAAAGCGTCTGTCTGTATTAAAAAAAGCCGATATGCAATGGATTCTGAGACCTGCCGGAGGTGTTCGTAAGTCGTGGGGGTATGTATGGTATAAATGATGGAGAGGACAGAGCTGCAGTCAATACAGATGGTCCCAGACGAAAGGAATGGATGAAATCTAGTTAGAAACTAAAACAAATTTTGTAATTAAAAGAGTATTATAAGGGAGAATCCAGCTCCTGTTAAAAAAAAGTAGAAAGAAAAAGGTATAAATCAGGGTACATTAACCATCGGATTTGAAGCTATTCAAACAACCATGGAGAATGTATTCCCCCCTGAGAGAGAATGAAACAAAGAGTGAAATGGGATGAGAAAGGAGAGGCAGAGGTCGGAGAAACAGCAGTCAGAGAGATCGAGAGAAAGGGAGGAAAAGATAGGCTGTGGTGTAATTATATCAAACTCCCTCCTCCTCCTCCTCCCGCATGTCCGGCATAAGGTGGGGAGCCACAAGTATAATTAAAAAGAAAAGAAAAGAAAAAGAGGAAGAAAAAGAAAGGAAAAGAGGGAATCCGTATCGAGGAAAGGCAGGTCAGGTCAGCCTTCGCAGCGGCTACAATATTACCCGCCCAAGGGTCTATGGGTGCAAGCATGTTTAGCAGGCCCTTGGTCCCGGTCAAGCCATGAACACCTTCAAGTTGGAAGGATGTCAAATCAAGGCCGCCAAATTGATTATCTTTTTGTCCTTGAAGAGTTGGAGTCTGGCCTGATACCATCCGAATTGTGGTAGAAGGACTGTAAGCGCCAACCAACTGTTGCTCTCTCTGCCAACCATCACTGTTGCAAGTTGCCAAGGGGTTGTATCCCGTCTTCTGCCTTTTTCTCCATTCTCTCAATGAAAATAGAAAGTGTTAGTAAAAAAGAAAAGAAGGATTAGGAAGAGAGATGGCTTGACGCTGCAGAGTCAAACCCGCTTGGATTGAGGTCTCGATTGGTACCTGAATATCAACATTTTTAACCGCCGAAGTTCATCCCAAAAATAGCATACGCCTCGTATTTACCTTCTTGCAAGGTTAACAAGGAACTTGGATGCGAAGGGATCCGTCCAACCCCCCATGGCACTGGCGACGCTGTGATTGGGAAACACTGCTCGAACAAGCATCCATCGTCCAGGGTGCAGGGCCATTATTTCATGCACAGAAGAAGGCCGGAAGCGCCCACACTAACTCAGCTCGTTAGTAACTATTACTAGCTAACGAGTTCACATCCCCCCTTGTTCATGTGTGACCAGGGGCCGAGGTATGCTCTAACCGCCGGGTCGTCCGTTTCTGTTGCTCGGCTGGGCCATCGATGTCACTGCATGCAACTCTTCCTGCAGGCCTCGACCGGATCTGCATCTGATGGAGCGCTGAAAGCCCAATCATAAGCCTTTCCAATCCATATTTTCTTCTCCACGACGTTAAAACGGGATCGTCCATGTTCATTCCGCGAACCCATGTCGTCCTCCGCTGCACGCAATGCATTCCCTATTCATCATGCCGGCTGCATGCCATTGACGACATCAATTGAATTTTTGTACCACATCTTTACATTGTAAAATATCTCTGCATGGCGTTTTGTTTTTTTCCCTCTCCCTGGAGAAACAAAAGGTTGACGCCCCGTTGCTATTTTTGGGAGCAACCAACATTCGAAATTTAAACGGGTGTTATCCTTTTACTTCTGCCTCTCGAAATAGTTGTGTTATGACAAATGGCTTTTTTTATCATGGTTGTCCCACAGTTTGATACTTCTATATTACATGAGCCGTGGATCAATCTTCCCTTTTTTTCAATGTCCTCCACGATGCTGAAACTATAACAGTGGCGGTGGTCGTGCCCTGCTTTTCGACGGCGGTTAACCAGAATTAAAAGATAAGGGAGATCCGAGGGGTCAACTGTATCATAAGTTAGTGATTCACACTGTCCAACTAATATACATGAAGGTTCAGTCAAGTTGTGGTAGTAATTCCACTATGGCCCCAAGTCTGCTATTTTAACATTGACATCCATATGACAATAAACAGAGAAGCCAGTTACGCGCTGGATAAAAAGTTACTCCAAAGTAGAGACCATTTGCCACCAACAGTTCTTATATTTTCTGTATTTAGTGGACTAGAAATTGGAATCAGTTTGAAACATTGAATATGCGCCCCTCTTCCTATCACATGAGCGTGTTGAAGCCCCTTGATATTCAGTAGAGCAGTGGGTTTAGTTGGTCAGAAATGAAAGTACACGATCGGCTCTAGTTGGTCTCTAGAAGAGAAGAAGCCGAAGGCCTTGCTGGTGTGGAAATATATTTATCCGTCACATACGATATCCGTGCTCTTGGCACCTATCGTCTTTGGCGCTGGGGTCATGTAGGCTCCAACGCAAGGGCCCCCCAGTCACCATCTTCATAAACGCTTGAACAGGCGCATGGGACCAGATTCTTACCTGGAAACTGGGCGCATCTTGCTCTCTTCTATGTTGTAGGATGGAAACACCCATTCCGAGTCGATATCAAGTTCTTGCTATATAATATAGATATGCGTTAAGCTTGATATAAACCCTGAGCTTACTTTTTGAGATACAAGATAACCAATAATAATGGGACTAGATGTTTGACAGGATGGGTGGAAACAATAAAGACGGATACTTATATAAGGCAAGCGCCTAAAAATCAGTTCACGTGCCACCAAGTGATTCAAACCTTCTTATTATAACAATTATCACTCTACATCGTTACATTTTCTACTCTCCTTCTCCCACTTCGCAAATCCAACAATTCCCTCGGAATCAACATGTCAGACGCGATGACACAAGGGAATTTCGTTTACGCGTTCTTGAAGTCCTGCTTCACTCGTCTTCGAGGATTTGCGCAGTTTCTTCTCCCCTTTCTCCGACCGAAGAAGCGACGGGGGATAAATTATTATAACCCAGTTGAATTAAACAAATATGCCATGCAAACGCTGCAAAAAGCTCTAAAAGACGACCCGGGTGCTGATATACGGGACTGTCTACCTTTAGTCTATAATTCAGCCATGCGAGTTATCTCGAAAACCAAAGCCCGAAAGGAAGAGGAGCTCAAGCGACCTCCAACTCCTGAATTTCGGACGAAAATTAATTATGTCGAAAACGCTGAGATTATATTTCCGCTTTCTGACGAAGTTGTTAGTCTCCTCTTGCAATACTCCGATAAAGATGGTGAACTCGTGGGAAAGCAACTAGTGATATCCTTGAAGCAGCTAATCTGGGAGTCTCCGAAAATTTGGGAATCTGCTGTCAGAGGAGTAGTCCTTAAATGCAGTGACAATGTTGCTCTCAAAGTTATTCGACAGCACCCGGACTATACCGAATATACGACGCTGCAATACCTAGCCGAGAAATTGCCTGAGATACCCGTTCCTAGCACTTACGGAGTCATAAGATTCAAGCCATTCACAGCTTATTTCATGTCATATATCCCATCAATGACATTGGCAGAAGCATGGCCAAGTTTGAATCATGAAGGGAAGACTTCTGTACAAGAACAGCTTGAAGAAATTTTCTCAAAGCTCAGAACCTTGAGGAAGGACGATGGATACCCGTTAGGAGGAGTAGGAGGAGAAGGTGTGAAGGAAGCACGAGTAGGTAATTCTGCACAAGAGAAAACTATCAATACGGCTGCGTCGTTTGTGGATTTGCAATTCTCGCTTTCCGAATTTCTCAGCAAATCATATATTCAGTTTATTAGAACCCTGCAACCACCACCACCAACAGGATCGGTTTTCACCCATGGAGACGTTAGGAAAGACAACATCATGGTAGACATTGGAGACAACAATACATGCACGGTTACTGCTATTATCGACTGGGAAGATGCGGGTTTCTATCCTGACTATTTTGAGTGTACGACCTTGACACGTACTTGGTTACCCCATGTGGAAGATGATTGGTATAACTATCTGCCTCCTTGCATTGATCCAGCTCGATTTCCCCATCATTGGCTCATCGATCGATTGTGGGGCATACACCACCCTATTTTCTGATTTTAATGTTGCCAGGATCCTATACCCAGCGGCAAATTTTGGCCTTACAGTGAACTCACTTTGCATACTTCTATTGTAGCGAGAGACGGGATATTTGCACCTTGCTGTTATTCATTCCCTCTTTGTGTATTATATAGGCATATTCTATCCGATGCACCCCTTCTCCCATCAAATTCTTAAGTATGCTGATATAATTATAGAAGTCTATAGTTAGTCTAGTAAATATATAGAATACTACCCTTAATATTATTCTCCTATCTGTAGAAAGTGGACGTTCTACTATACTAATCCTTAGTATCATTCCGGAACACTTGACCCCAGGAAGTCCTGGGATCCTCACATGCCCTATCTATAGAGTGCTATATGCTTGTCCTAGTACTAGCAGAAAATAGAGTTTTTTTCGAACTGCTGGATAACCTAGTTATATAGGGGGGCGTAGGCGTACGACAGGCAGTTGTAACCGGGTTATATGGTGGGCAAGTTATAACCTGCGCTATGCCTCAGGTTAATTTTAGTACAAGTAAGCTCATCCAATCAATCAACGTACATGTAATCATTATATAAGGCCTGGCCTGCTTAGTTTCATCGAGCTCTTCTTGTACATGCTCCCTGCCCATCCATCATTGCACTGCAAGATGCAGGCTGAGGGCGTACATTGAAGCTCGACTACTCGTCCCAGGCACCACGGAGAGGTGCAGGCCATGCCCAGGGTGCCGTACACAGGGCCCGTACGGCTGGGATGGGTGCAGTAGGGCAAAAGCCCCAAATCCAAATGGAACGCAGTCACTCAGTCCAAAGATATCAATGAAATCATGTCCTTACCCATTTAAAGAAGCACAATGGCCCTGCTGGCCGAAGACCCATTTCCTCCTCCAGTTATCCTGGCCCTTGGCCGTCGTACCGGCCCATCGCCCGTTAGGTCAATGACCTGGCGGTCATCCCCAGAGTCATCGTCCAGGACTATGACCTCCGTACGTGCCTGCTGTATCTCGTCCCGTACGGAGCAGTGGGAGGCACGATCGCGCCACTTGCAGTTACCACATGCTCCGCCGAAGTGGCCGGGGAGCCGGACGCACTCTGTGAAAGGCCTGAGACCTGTACGTCCCCGACAGTCGGTACAGGCATGCACCTCAGGCCTCCCTCTGGATTGGACCAGCAGGCCGTTAATGTACGAGGCCCGATGCGATAGTATTTGCCGTGCATCTATGCTGTACGGCACATAGCGCACATGGAGTCCCGGGAGGGACAATACCGCACGGCCCAAGTCATTGTGGACGTACGGGGCAAGCTCCTGGCCACCGACCCTGAGGATACCAGGCGTGTCCGTCATCCGGGCGATCTGGCGGTCGTACAGCACAAGGGCCCTATATCCATGTCAGTATACCCGTGCCGTGCATTGTACAGTATTAGATAGGGATAGGGGCGGAGTAGGGTGGGGGAGGGTGCTAGATATATAACTTACATCCCGTCCCCAGCAGTGTTGTTGTTAAAAGGCCTATTATCCCATCTTTTATTAGTATATCCTTACTAATATATGCTATATTATGGACGGATAGATAGGATATTATAGATAATAGGCCGTACTTACATCTCAAAAGAGGAAAAAAAAGAGGAGAGAAAGAGTATAGGGGTACTAATTGATTGGAATCTATCCTATACCCACCTAGTTAGTATACTATGGCCTATGGCTGTACAAATAGTATTTATTCCCCCCTTTCCCTCTCTATATCTATGCCTGCTGCATCGTACAGAGGGCAGAGGGCAGATAAGGGGGAGGGGGGAGAGGGGAGGGGGGAGGGGGAGGGCATAACATACCTGATATTCTATTCTGTACACATATTCCCAGGCCGGATATCAGTACAAGGACTCCCAGACGTGGCCTAGATGGCAGGATAGGCTGCAGCTCGGCTCTGGACGATGAAACGAGTACAGAGAGGATAGAATAGTGTCCAAAAGGGATGACTTACCGGACGTGTACGTGGAATAGGCTAAGGAGGAGAAGGAAGAGAAGGAGAAAAGAGGGAGGAGGTGAGGCCAAAGCTGATATCAACGTGTAGCGAGAGCGTGTACAGCCTAACCCGATTAGGAAGCCTTTCTTCTAGTAACAACGTACAAGCAACACCTTAATATATAGAGTATAAGTATAAGAAAAGAGTATTTTTTTATTACTACGTATATCTATCAAGGCCAGAGGCCAATCCTATTTAAAAATATATATCGGTAAGGAACAGAGTAGCGTACACTAATCCATATTCTATATTCTATATTAGATATCCTATACTGACTCCCTTAGGCTAGCTTCCTTATCTCCTTGAGGTGCTTGACCAAGGTATTTAATGAGAAGCCATGCTTTACCCGTACTGTCTCCAGCTCCTCAATAACAACGGACAGGCTCTTCTTCTGTACGCGCTGCCTCCGTACGATCTCATCAACCACTACCTTCCTGCGGGAGAACATCATGCTCTCCCCAGGACGGTGGCGGCGCCATCTAGGCCCATATGCCTCCTCCATGCTCCGTACCGACGGCCGGCCACCAAGGCCCTCAGCCCACTCTCGCCAGAGATCCATAACGGTCCCAATCGTACGGGATTGAGAGAAGCCCATAGAAAGGGGCGGGGGGCCAGTATGGGGAGCGGCTGCTACAGCAGAGGAAGAGGGGGGGTGAGGGGAGCAGGAAGGGGACAAGGAAGGATGGGGAATGGCTCCATGCATACACCTAGGAGTGGCATATGGAGTGGAGGCGGCAGTGGCGGTGGCAGTGGCCGCAGCGGACAGAGGCGAGCCTGGAGCATTGGCTCGTACGGTGAAAGACACTGTACCGTCCACTATATCCTTGATATTCCTATCAATTGTCTGTAGGAATCCAACATTCCGCTCCTCTGATACCTTAAGAGTCTGCACAATGGACTGCTCAATGGTCTGCAGCCGCGTGGCAATGGCAGGAACCGTACGGCGAAGCTGGACATCCTGCGGCTCCTCCACATCTATCAGGGAGTCTCGTACAAGCTGGGAGAAGCAGAGGTAGTCATCCCGTGCAAAGAGGGAGTGGCTCCATATTGGATGGCCGGGGAACTCCTGCATAAATAGAACAGAGTCCTGCAGAATGACTGTACGAAGATAGTCAAGCAGATAGAGGAACCCCTGCGAGGCAAGATCCCCGTGGTCCACCTTCCCACTATCGAACCTCACTGACTCTGGAGGCAGCTGTACGTCCTCAGAGCCAGAGCCGGTGTACGAGGCCTGCCAGAGCAGCCACTCATCGACCCAAGGCCAGAGTGCCTGCTTGAGGGATGCAGGCGGCTCAATCTTTGTACGCGGCAGATAGTACGCCCCTGTTTCTACCGGCTGGAAGCCTGCCATTGCACGTACGAACTTCCTGGGAATATTAGTAAGATAGGAAGTTGTAAGAGAGTCAGAATTCCACCGTCCAGCCCTTCGAATCTGGCCCTCATTTACTCCTGCCAACTCAGCAAACTTGGCCCCCTGGGACCGTCCAGCATGGGTCTTCTTCTTTATCCCAAGGCCGATCCCCTTGTACACACGGTTTGACCACTGCAGCTGGGTCTCGTACGCAATTGGCTTGACATTACTCTGGCCCTTGATGACAAGAAGGTCGTACCAGAGCTCCCGGCGCTGGAAGTTGGGTGGTGTCTCCCCCATAATATTCCAGCGCATAAAGAAGTAGAAGCCAATACTGGCCATCGTACAGAGAAGGGGGTTCTTATGCCGTACAGCAGTGCCGTACTCGCGGCGGCCATCCTGGTTCGTCTTGCCATTATCTATAAGTACAACCATGGCATGGCAGGGAGTTGGGCCCTCATTATCCAGAGTCAGGGTAAAGAGGTCGGCCATTTGAACCTTACGCCGTACCTCACCACGGAGGAGAAGGGTATGAGCAAGGAGAAGGTCGGCCGCCGTACGGAGGAACGGCTCCAGCTGGCCAGAAACGTTGTACCCAGAGGACCAGCAGAATCGGATGAGCCGTACGAATTCAGCAGAGGTATATCCATCCTGAAGGGAGTTGAGGCCACGGTCCTCGTACTGCTCCCTCTTCCTCTTTGACTCCTGCTGTCTGCGTGTACGAATCAGGCCCTTTACCAGTGCACCCCTGGGGGATGCATGGGTATTTGTCCTCATGCTGACCTGTACGCCCCAGAGGTCCACCAGAGCGGCAATGTACGCCTTGATCGATGCCTCTGATAGCGTCTGTTTAACGGACTCCCCCTCTATATTCGTACGGCTCTTCTTATATCGAGATGGCCTGATTTCTCTGTACATAACCTCCTCCTGCAAGAACATATTTAGTTTCGGCTCGGACACAATCTCTCCGTCCGCAAATCCAACCCTTTGGCACCATGCCTATTGGGATTGGAATCGATCGATATACCGTACAGTCAGCCTGTAGACATGCGGCAGTGGGATATAAGGATATATATATATCAGCCTGATAGGGAGCCAGGCCGGGGGGATAAGAGACGGGAGATAGTAGTAAGAAAGGGAAGTATATACTCTCCACTCCTCCTGCCGGGCACTGTACGCGATCTGCGTATTCTTAGGCCGGTTCTTTTGGGTATATAGGAGCGTACGCTCCTGGTTCTCGAACAGGGCAACGTTGATATTGGACTGCCGGTCCAGGGCACTCATGCTGCCGTCTGCACGGTCCATTCTGGACGAGGAAAGGGGGTAATATAAAGGTCGGAAATAGGGTATGCGGTATATAGTAAGGTAAATACCTATCTGTTCACTTATTTGGCCGCATTAGCCCATTGTATGTACGAAATATACAGGGGTACAGGGGGGGGGAGTAGAGAGAGTAGAGCAGAGTAGAGCAGAGCTGGGCTAAGAGGCCTGAGTGGCGGTAATACGCAATAAAGCTATAACTGCTTACATAATCGGTTACACTGCGGCTTGGCATAACGTACGTAGTAACCCGGGTTATAACACCACCCGGACCCCCCCCCATATAACCACTAGTTAAACTGATCCGCTTCTATCTGCCCCTTTCTACTTTAAGAAGTTCTTTTATTTTCTAATATCTATATTTATGCTCTACTATAGTTTGGAAATCTATATTAAAATATATTTATATAATACTAAAATATAAGGAGGGGGTTGGCGAGCGCCTATCAAACGGTGCCTCAAACACCCGTTGGTCTCAACACTTAATTCTGTTTCCTATATTTTATAGTAGGAAACAATTCACGCGCACCGTAACATTGTGTAATATGCACTAGAAATTCACTCCTTGATCTAGCCCGTCTTTGTATACCACAGAAAACACCAAATGGGTGCAGTTCTGAAGGCACCATATCGTCTCTTACACGGTTCGGAATGCGGCCCAAGCGATACTGCTCGAAGGTCCAGTCGCATCCTCGACACCAAATGCCGTGTTCGAGGACTTTATTTGGCAGTAAGGAGGGGAATTCCATGGATGCCATGCCGCCGTAACCATTATCCGGAACATTTCCGTTTGACGGTAACCTCGACGGATTGTCAGGCAGCGGCTGCAAAGGAGTCTCTTGAAACCATTTTATTGTGTGCATTTTCTTTATCACTCTGTCAGACATATTATGACGTATACTAGTGTCTATGGTTGGCACTGAGCCATTAATCCTTATCGCAAATTCTTTCACGAGTTTGACGCTCACAAGCGTCAACCGTCCCCTTCGCAAGTCCTTGTGCGCGATATCATAAACTCCAGGGATACTTTGCATCAGGGGAATTTTCTTTAGATCGCGCTGGGTAAGCTTAAAGCACTGCTTAGCCAAAGAGGGGGGTATCACCCAGAGTGACTGATTATAATGAAGGCATTCGTAGCAGCATCGATCGCATGTTGGAAGGAATAAAAAGGGCCCAAACTCCCTACATGAGATGCAAGTTTCGGATTTTAGAACTGTATAAAGTTTCTCTGCAGAATGGAAACTAATAAGGCAAGTTTCACTGAGTGCCTTAAGTGTATCCGGTGTGTATTTCATAAGATCACGGTATGCTGGTAGAGACTCAACAATACTTCTACTTCGCCGAGAGACGCATAAAAGACGAGATAGAGACTGAAAATCCAATATATTTAGAGTATGATGTAGAATCTCGAGGGGCAAATGGCCCAGGAGCCCCGCGGATGATAGCTCGGGACGGTGTTCAAGATGTGACGGCTTAGCTGGGTCAGTAATTGAAATCATCCCTCTAAGCAAATGGCGAGGACGATAGGATAAGCTCGCAAGTATATCCTCGTCGCATGGCGTTTCGGACATGATGGTGCCAAGGGGTTGAGGCGGTAATTGAAGCTCGTGGTTAGACGCTGGAAACGCGTACAGTAACTTCGTCACGCTTCTTTTATATTCTCTAGAATAACTAGAGTCGGAACCGCCTGTACCACGGGGCAAAAAGGTCTAAAGGCCCAGCGGTCAATAGCACACGAAAACGGTGACCGGATACTATCGAGGAATAAAAGAGTAGAGTAGTAAATGCATGTGTGACCTCATATAGGCCCATGTGAAGATAGATGAAGTTGTCAAAATGCTTGGTATGATCTATAATATAGTTTTCGTAAAGACAATAAAGAAAATGAGATGATTATTCGGTACGTTAGGAATTGCCGTCTGCAACTGTGTATTTAAAAGCGCTTTAGCGCATTGGGCAAGGTTTTTGCTTAATCACCAGGGACAAAAGGCCTAATGTCCATGAGTAACCTTCTGTGTGCATGGTGGATGACATAATCTAACAAGAGTTGAACTAAATTACATAATCCAATTGTTAATTTTTCCTGTTTTTCTCTGAGAATGCTTGGAACGAAGTATTCTAGTTCACCTTCCATCTCAAGGCAATTTCTCCTCTATAACCCTCTTGCGGATAACGGGTCATCTGTAAGAACTAGGGCTGGGGCCCTACATAAAAGAATCTAAAGAGATTCAGCCCCTCAGGAGTCTGAACCATCAAAGCTACCTCAAGTCGCTGAGAGGATATCTATCATGGTATTCACCTTTCTGGTCTTAAAATATGCCTGCCGTCCGTTGACCTAAAATACATATTCCTTCACCTTGCTGCACCATCTCCTTGGTCCAGATTTCCAATCTACCCCTCTTCCCTCCTCTTCCCTTCTCTCTTCCTTCCAATACCCAAAGCCACTCCAATGGATCATCGTGCGACGCGGCCACGATATTCGGTTGTGGCCTTGCTTTCCCTCGGCATGTGCGTGGGGCAATAATTACGGGATATCAGACTCTCGCTGTTTGTCACATCGCATCGAAGGTTTGATTGCTGCTGATATAACCGGTCGCACTGCTTGAATTCTCCCTTTTTCCTACAGCCACATTGATATTTGATCCATACTTGAATGCACATGTTCCCGGTTTTTGGCAGGTATATCTAGGGAGCAAATTTTCTAAGTGGCGGGTAAACATTGGTATATATGGGGAATTTTATATCTCCATACTTACAGGGAATCTCAGGTAGTAAAGATTGGTTGGCAATTCTGGCTTGTGGAATAACCAGGGCTATCCCAATCAATCAAAAAGTGTTCACAAAGGATCGCAAAGCATTGACCTACCTCGGAGTCACTGAAGATTGGTTTTGAGAAGCTTGATTAATTGAGAGACTTAGTCGTGGTTTGTAGCTGCTTTATATGTTTATTGACTCTTAGTCACACACCCTAAGTTATCCCTAAGCGCCGTCAAGGCTGTGAGCACTGAAGATCCAGAAAAAACTCGGCCCCATTTCACCTACATTAAGAAACCTCCTCACCTAAGCACTTACTACATAGTATGTACGATAATCCATGTGCTGCCGTATATACTTACGTATAGCAAACTACTCGGACCAATTTAATTCGTCATAGTCCTTGTCTGGTTCATGCACTTTTTATTCTCATGGGTTTCAGTATAGTTGGTTGGTCGTTACTATCTGCATACCCTTGGCGTTGTAGTGGCTATGGCCCCCAAATTACTCAAGGACAATAGAGCCCATGCCATATTTACTATTGAGGTAATAAGAAAAATCTGCAGTATTACCGCCTAGTTTCATCCATTTCATTTTTGGTGTACTTGATTGGTGATGATAGCTAGTTATATTTATGAGGTAAGTAGATATGCATTGAATCAGTTCTTCAAAGATCGTATTACAGTTACAGTTACGTAATGAGTCTATGTCACTTATGCCGAACAGAAGTAGTTAAATAACTAAATAATCACTAGCTGGCGCTTAATGAATTAATTCTAGTTGAGATCAAAGCACTTTTACTCCTCTTACTTTACGTACCTTTTTGTCCATAATAATGATGGAATCATTAAAACCCAAAGACACAACTATGCCTGTATCTAAGTGGATCCCCAAATCTGAAATAGAGGTACTATCCCAGGAGATCGATGAAGAGCTTGGAATGTACCGTATTCAAGCCGGGAACAAAGTCCGCTACCTCACGATAGCCGGGGATGTTTTCGATGAAGATACCATGTGTCGTCCATATCTTTTGATCCCGAAACTCCCTATCTTCCCAAACACCCCATGGGCGAAGATGGACATCACACGCGCAGCGGATGGCACACCCTTGCCCATTATTTCTAATACTGAGCTTCGTGGAGTCGACTTGATTTGGCATCCGGACAAAATCGAAGTCCTCTCCCTAAAGCAGATTCGACGCTATCGGCATAACGTCCACGAAGTGATGTTCAAAGGGGTACCAGCGATCACGAAAATTGTGCGGTGGGAATGGGAACTTGCACGAATGGAGAATGAGACTTGGGCATATTCCCTTCTTCACCGGCATCAGTGCAAGCATCCTGATGAACCGCCCATCGGCCCACGGTTTCTAGGTCACCTATCGGAAGATGGTCGAGTGATGGGGGTGTTACTGGAGAAGGTACAGGGTCGATTCGCTGGCCCAGATGATCTCTTGAAGTGTGAAGAGTTGGTCCGTAGGGTTCATCGGCTCGGGTTGATCCATGGGGACGTCAACCGGCATAATTTTCTCGTGAACGAAGAGACGGGAGACGTACGACTACTTGATTTTGAGCACGTCGAGGAGTTTGATGAGGAAGTGGCTAGGGCTGAGCTGGAAGCTTTACCGCTGGAGCTCGCAGAGGAGACAGGGAGAGGGGGTTGACTGGGGAGCTGTAGATATATATGTTCCGAGGCAACGACCGGGTTATATCACGTGATCAGAGTTTGCTCTTTTTGGTTCCACTTTTGTAGTTTATCACACTTAAAGTTCAAGTCAACAGCCTTTAAGCCTTTCGCTGTGCTGAAGCCAGAAGCCATGAATCACAATCATGCAAACTATCAAGCTCGGCTTGACTTCGCCCAAAGTTTGCTACACGAAAGATTTGGCATAGAGGTAGCCCTTTACCCTGTCTCTTCTTGGTGTCAGGTGCTAAGAAGTATTATCTCGTTGTATTAGGACGAAGCCAAGGTTGTTCCTATCCAGTACGACGCGGAATGCCCATTCAAGTACAATAATTTTGTCTACCGCATCTCCCTAGCTTCTCCCATTGCTTCGAATCAGGATGGACCTACGCAACCCGGCTGTGTCGCCATACCTAAAGACACCAAGGAGCTTATATTACGGCTCACCAACCCCGATGCAGAGGGAATGAGCCTCCAGACCCGCGTTGAAAATGAGGTAGCAAATATCTACCTCGCATCCGCCGCCCTTAGCGATATTACACCCCATGTCGTACCATCAGTGTATGCCTGGGGCAGCGCAGCGGGCGAACCCTCGCAAGGTTGGATATTCCAAGAGCTAATGCCTGGTACGCCTCTAGACGAAGCATTTGGCGCAATGGATATTACGCAGAAGCAGCAGATATTCACACAAATGGCGAAGATGCTGAAGGCTTTACATGATTACAAGTTACCCGATAGTATCACTGGGTTTGGCGGGCTGACCTTAGATGATGCTGGTCATATTATCAGCTCTGTTATGCCGAGTGTTGGCGCTGGGCCGTGGCCTTCATACGAAGCGTCTTTCAAAGGTCGGCTGGAAGTGGCTCTTCGGAGAGCAGATAATAACAAGTATATCCAAGGGTGGCGCCAAAATGGTATTAGGGAACGCCTTGAGGCATTCATTGAGCGTGGTGTCCCAGCCATGTTTGAATCACTGAGCTCGAAAGATGAAAAGTCCATTTTGCATTGTGATTTCAGTAAGTGGTTTATTGATTGTGAGTATCGCTAATTAATAAGCTAACTCTTTTTAAAACCTATAGCTACAAATAACATTTTATTTGACGCCAGCTCAGGACGTATTACAGCTCTCATTGACTATGATTTCAGCTGTGTTTTGCACAGATCTTACGAGTTTCTTCGCTCCCTTGATAACGCTGGTGGCCAATTTTGCGGGTGGTCTGGTGACGACGACAGTGAGCAGATGGCACTTAGGGGAGCAAAACTCCATGGCTTTCCGTCACCGCTTCCACAGTCAACCAAAGATGGCGTCCAGTGGGAGGTTGCAAAGGCATGGGAGTGTGAGTTGGAGAAGCTAGGCGTGGAGCGTCCGAGAACCATTGATGGGATTGACAAAGTAGCGGATGTTGATGCTGTGCTTCGAGGTATTTTGCCCTGGCGCCTAAGCAATTCGGATATCGTGCGCTTGCAGTCTGAGGAGGTGAAACTAGGTCACAGAGAGAAGTGTGAGAAGGAGCTGAGAAATATGCTCGTTCGTCTGGGATTTTAAGTTGATCATTACCCGGCCCTCGTAGCGACTATATGTACGTTATTCTTGACCAAGTCGAGACCGGGGCAACTCCACCTTGGGCTTATTCCCGAACTCCTTTTGACCGTCCTATGAATCTCCATGATCACTACTTAGTATTTTATGACCTGTTTTTTTGATTGGTATCATCCCCATAACCCCGAGCCCGCCCATTTACTTTATAAGGCGGTACAGCCTACAAAAGTGATCCACTTACAAAAGTTAACAGGAGTTACCAGTTACTACATACTTGCTAACCTTGTGCGATTGTGGGGAGAGAGACCAAGAATTGCCGCGGATGCTAGCAACTGCGATAGAGATAGAGATCCCCTTCATATCAAAAGCGGCTTCCTCGACAACGTTGCTTAGAATGATTGAATTAATATGTCGCGTCGACCAGCTTAGGAGCTTGTTACACGGCGTTAATGGTTATTGTAACAGAGAACCAATCTCTTCGCTTTGCTAGCTGGCTATAAAGAATACCCAAAACAAAGGCCTACCAGCTCACACGCCACTGAAAAATTGCATCTGGATACTATCATAGTACCGATCCAAAGGGAGAAATGGCGAATAAATACCTCGGAGGATCTGGCAATAGGCTCACCGTATGGATATCCATAGCAGCTTCCACCATGCTTATATTTTATGGCTATGACCAGGTCCGTTTGAAATTCCATTTGAACATGTACCAAATGGCCTTTTCTTAACTAGGCATAGGGAGTGTTCGGCAATGTTCTTATCGGTGAAGACTTTTTGCAAACGATGGGCCATCCGTCCACAAACCTACAAGGCACCATGACCTCGGTTTACAACATTGGATGTTTCGTTGGTGCTATGTCAACTATGTGGACAGGCGATTATTTAGGCCGGCCTCGCCAGATCATAATCGGCAGTACCATCATTGCTATCGGCGGTATCATCCAAGCTTCTGCGTATAGAGTTCCTCAGATGATGGTAGGGAGAGTGGTGGCTGGTCTCGGTACCGGGATGAATACCTCAACAGCTGGTGTGTGGCAGTCAGAGACGAGCAAAATGAATAGCAGAGGCAAACTCGTTATCATCCAGATGGTAAGATATTCCACACATCTTTTTCTTACCTACCTATATAACAACTAATGTATCAGGCGAACTGCATCGCTGGCTTCTCACTTTCGAACTGGCTTACCCTAGGATTCTCCTTTGCCGCAGGGAGTATTGCTTGGAGGTTTCCCCTGGCATTTCAGGTGTTTTTCACCCTTTGCATATACGCCATGTGTCCATTTCTACCAGATTCGCCCCGTCTACTGATTCGGAAGGGGAAATACAGTGAAGCGCGTGAAGTACTAGCGGCGTTAGAAGGCAATGGAGCAACGGCTGATTCGCATTCTGTCAAAACCCAATTTAATGTGATCAAAGATATATTGGATCGTGAGAATTTGAACTCTTACACGTGGTTGCAGCTAGTAACCGGGAAGGGTGAGGCTCTTTAATTTCTGGTTTACAAAGCGGATTTCTGACATATATTGATAGGGCCCTCCGGTATCCTCAGACGCATGGTCCTAGGGGCATGGATGCAGGCAATGAACCAAATATCTGGAATAAATGTTACTTCGTAAGTTGCGTCGTGCTTCTTTCAACCATGGCCAGAAGCTTAATCTTTACAGTTACTATATGTCATACGTCTTTATACACGCACTCAGCCTTTCCCCGCTCCTTTCACGAATACTCGCAGCAGCCGGGAGCGTGGACTACCTCGTTTTCTCCTGCCTTGCCTACTTCGTTATTGAGCGTTACGGACGCAGGAAAGTAATGATGGCCTCCTCCCTGGCTTGTTCGGTATGCTTCATAGTGATAACTATCTCCCTTTCTCTTTCAGAAAATGGCCACGGCGATAAGTACAAGTTTGGTATAGTGGCTGTTTCTTTTTTCTTTGCCTTTTTTGCCAGCTTCGGGATGGGCGTCCTTGGTGTTCCATGGTTATACCCTACAGAGATAAACGCTCTAGAAATGAGGACCAAGGGAGCTTCTTTGGCCATGGCAACAAACTGGATTATGGTAAAATCCCCCTATTTTCTATTCCCATTACAATATATAATCAGTCTAATGAAGTGTCGACAGAATTATATGGTTGTACAGATCACCCTTCCTGGTATCGAAAATCTAGGTTGGAAATTCTGGATTATCTGGGCCGTGTTATGTTTCTCCTTCATACCAACCACATACCTTTTCTATCCGGAAACCGCCAACCGAACACTAGAAGACATTGACCGATATTTTGAATCAAATAGAGAGGTAATAGTGGCATTCAATAAAAGTAAGTTTACGTTTCTATTTCCTACCTCATTACTTCTTTGCTCTCAATGTTAATTTTATTTCTGTAGCGGCAACCAAACTCAGTCGCCCTGAGGAATATATCCGTATGGACGAAGAAATTTCCAGAAGAGAAGCCGTGGAAAAGTCGAGCGGCTCTACTACTATGCTGAACAACCAATCTACAGATCAGGTTGATCAAGTATAAGGAAATCAGATACCTTTTTATATCTAAGTAGCATATCTTTGCTGTACCGGATATTTGTAACCAATTTCATAGCACGAGTGATAATTTAATGTATTTTCAACATAAAGCCAATAATTTTGAAGTTTGATATGGAATAAGCCATCAAGAAACAAAACGATGACTGGTCGACCTATAAGTCAAAAGCAGAAATATCAAAATAAAGGAGAAGCTACAGAAGCAATGAAGAAACCAAATCCGATAGTGAGAAGAACCAACTACTTCTCACCTTAGCTCCCCTAATCTCTTACTTTAAACTCCACGGATGCTCTACGCACGTTAATGGACACATCCATATTTCCTTCACTCCCCCACCAGCTCATCTTGTCATCACGTCCAACTGTAGGCATTTTGGTGCCAACCAACTCTTTGCCTTTCCCAGATCTATCAGTAACCTCAAGCCCGTCACCTCGGAGGAAAATATGTCCTGGGCTGCGAGTTTTGGCGAGGACATTACCTGCCCAAGAATGGGGATAGGAGATAGCCATATTGCCTGACCAACGGCTAGTATGATAGGAGCTCGCCTTTAGCCCTGAACGAGAGCATGGTTTGGGCTCGGCAATGCTGGGCTTTCTGTTGAGGGCTTCTAGGATACGATCCCATTTATTTGGTCTGTTGTGGTGGTTTTTGCGAGTGTCCAGATGCTTACCGTCCGCAGCGTTGGCTGTGCCCTCTGGAGCATTCTCACGCTTCTCGGAGGCAATGAACGATGGTTCGGTAACTGACAGCCATACATTTCCTGAGCGGGTATGAGTGCGAATAGAGACGTCATCGCAATCTTTACACTCCGAGTCTTTTAAGATGGTATTTTCAAAGACGAGCGGGGTTAGGTGAGCACTGATAGTGCCTGTGCGAGTTGAGAACGAAGCATGGGTGGAGAATCCGACAACAGCAAAGATGTTACCACTTCTGGTCTGGATATCAATCTCATACGGGCGAGGGGGAAGGGAGGATGCGACTTGCCATGAAGCATGGTTCATGGCCGGTTCTTCAAGATAGGCAGCTTTTAGCATATCAAGCTGAGCTTTGCTATCAAGTTCATTTTTGGGAGATGCAGCGTCCACGGCTGCAGCGGGAGCAGGCATCTTGAACCTCACAGAGATATTACCAGATCTAGACTTGATAGAAATCTTTGCGGGACGAAGGGGGTCATTTGGATCTGCTGGCTGGGGTATGACGGTAACGTAAACGGATCCAGTCCTGGTCTCGAGGTCGAGTAAATCGTAAAGAGGATAAATTCCATAGATAGAACCGGTCCTTTCTCGAACAACGATTTCTCGAGAGGAGTTTGAATGACAACCATGACCGGAATCATCATGATTGTGGTAATTGTGATGATGGCGATGGTGTCTCTGAATGGTTCAAAGCGGTAAGTTAGCAGTTGTATGAAGAACAAAGTAGATACGGAATGTAGCAACTTACTCTCATGAAACCAACGGTGGCCCAGCGGACAAGCCAAAGAGAAACCCAGACGATGAAGACAACCTTTAAAGCAACAAGCATCTTCATGCAACAAGACCGTCCTCGACACTGGCCATTCTCAAGGCGACGACGTTGGCATCTTTCCTTCCACCAGCGACAGAATCGGCCTCTCCCACGACATCGTCGGCCTGGCACATCAGGCGAAACGTCGGCCTTGACGATAGAGTCATCCTTGATGTCTACTTTTACATCACCAGTCTGGCATCTCGGTGTATCACGGTAACCTGGTGGCGGAGAGCTGAGGAGACGGTCGTTCTCACGGGAATCTTCCACTGCTTCTACATGGAGGTTTGGCTGGGATTCACCACTGTTTGAAGCAGTGCTGGGAGGAGTATATATCTTCTCGTCGCCAATGATGGTATCTGAATCATCAGAGTATTGAGGGAGCAAGGGAGCCTGTTGCTCCTCTAGTTTTGCTTCCTTTGGGTTGCCCATTGTTGTTGATACAAGTAACTGGCTATCTCGAGAGTGGCGCCACCAATACAATGCTATATTGAAAGGCGATCCAAAAGATGATTGACTTGGTTGAATATGTGCTTGGTATTGTATTGTATTATTATATTATACCCAGGCGGACCTTGACGGCCAGGGAGTTATTGATTACGGCGCAGAATGGGAGATGACGACGATGAGCA